GACGAACTATACGCTTTCGCATTGTCGTCGCCATCCATCCTCCCTCCTCGCCAGCACAGACCCCCTCCCACGCCCGACGGTGCAAGAGCGAACCCCGAGCCAAGCGAGCGCAGTCACGCGGGCGCCAAACGCAGGAAGGCGCTGTACATTCCTCCGAGGTCTTCGTCACGCGATCCCACGTCCTGAAGACAAGCAATACGGCACGCGCGATGCAGCAGCAACAACGACGACGACGATAGGGCGCCTACAACGACGACGTCCGCAATCCGGGTTGTTCGCTCGCATGCTCTCTCCGTCTTTCTCGGTACAGCCCCGCAAACGTCTTGTTGCCCACGAACGGCTACACGCTTTGTTTTTTTTATTGCTATGCCCCTTCGTTAGCTGGCGTCGTCCGGCCCAGAAAGACATCACACATTCACACCTGAGCGCGCACGGCACTCCCGAAGGCGCGCGTGATTTGTAGCCGCAGCCTTTGTCCACCCGCCAACGCGAAAGAAGCCCGCACGCGGATACCTGCTACCATACACCCCGGTGACGACGATGGCCGCTGTCTTTTATCGTCCTAGCTATTATAGTTTTTTTTTTCTTTTAGTCCAAAAGTAACGATAACCAACACCCGCGCGTCTGCTCAAGAGTAGAAAGGGGAAAAAAAACGCCCAACGGCGCTTTCTGGGAATTGTGTAAAGAAAAAAAACGCACTCCTAGGCTTATAAGCAGTTAAAGTGCCGCTAAACGTCGATGTAGCGAAGTCGGTTAAAAACGATCAATTCACATCGACCGCAGTTTGATATTGCGCCGGCGAAGAAGTCCTCATCACAGCGGCCGAACGCCGTGCGTGAATTTGAAAGAAATGCAAACCTAACGCAATGTGGTTTACTTGATAAGTGTTGCCTCTTACCAACCCCCCACAAATCGCAGTTTCAATTTATTCAAAAAATCGCAATTTCAATTTATGACCTCGATCTTCGCGAGGAGTGGCATCGTTGTAATCGCGGATTGCAATCGCGGATAACATACTTCTTCACACTGAGGCTGGCAGGTTTGTGTTAAAAAAAACACAAACCTGCGAGGAGTAAAAGACTTCGATAGGTCGAGAGTTTTGTTATAGTGAAGTTCTCCATATTAAGATCATAACTACAATGTACTTCACTTTTAAAAGTATATGACTAGAAACACGACCGACAAACGGGTGACAGACGATGTAACTCGTACTGTCCTTGCATTTCCTGTCGTGCTATTATTATTATCATTATTATTATCATCATTATTAGTAATATTATTACGTATGTGTATACACAAAAAACACAAAGATGAATGAAATACAAAGTGAACAGGCCGAGAACTGCCACCAATCTCATAAACCGCGACCTCGCTTCGCTGCGCTGCACATTCGCCCAACTGATGGCAGCACCTGTCGTGCTTCGAGTGAAGACGAGGTACTAGCACGTCCTGCGTCTCGCCTATTGCGCGCGTTCACGTCAAGAGAGTCGGGTCTTCGTTTCCCGCGTACCCGCGCAAGCAAACTGTGCCTGAACATGCGTTCGAAAGATTTTTCATTCGTTAACGCACCACGTTCGACTCGTGTGGCCCAAGGCCGCAAACGCCCGGTCGAAAACGCAGGCGGTTCACCTTGCAGACGTGAAATCTGCCGTGGATGACGAGGCCCTCGTACAATGACGAGCGAGCAGACGCTACTCGGGACACCAGCGGGCACCCCGATCGGCAGCTGCGTCTGTCCGCGTGCCAACTCGGTAGCCGGCAGATCCCGCACCTCGTTTACCCCGGTTAAAATATATACGGCCGTCGATCGAAATCGACGGCGGATTCATCTTAAACGCCCCCAAAAGTAACTTCCCGATTGAGCGCATCAAGATTTGGCCGCGCGCCCGCCGCCACCTTTCACGCCATCTCCGAAGCGTAATTCGCTTCCAAGGATTCGAGAATGAACGCTTCGCCGCCTCTTCCGAAAGAGGCGATGTGGCGGTAGATATCCGCGCCGCATCGTACACCGTGGCTACTCCTTCTACGCGTGCAGCTGGCTGCCTTGGTCGGTCGTCTCGCGCGCTGCATGCTTCGCCCGGGATGCGCGTGTTTTCCGTCAAAGGGACGCTAAGGTGAAAAACAATCTCTCTCGTATTATCTTAAATTACTCTTTCGCGATTTTAAAATCAAGGCGCTTGCCGCGAGACGACGCTTGATAAGCGAACGAAAAAAAACGCGAAAAGAAAATGAGTGTGGCAACGCCACCTTACAATTCGCGCACCAAAACGCCGTGGATTTTGACGGAGTCTGCTACGGCGTGTGAGTTCCTAATCACTAATAACAACATTATCCTTAGAACAAATCGTTGACTACGAGAGGAATGCGCTCCATGCAGTCTTCCGCGTCTTTCTTATCACTCTCTATTAATCAATCTACGATGTTGCATCCTTACAATCATTGAAATAATGTAGTGCTTCAACACAGTTTATATCGCGGTCAAATGAATGTCTACTAATAAGCTATTCATTTACTATGAATCACTATTTGACCGAAAATACATTTCCAATGTGCTGCATGGCTTCAACAAGACGTTCCCCCCTCCCCCCACTCGAAGGTTGTAACAAAAAGGCGGCGATCAGCCACACGATGAGGGAGGCGCGCCGAGGATCAAGGGCAGTCCATCCGATTTCTCGCCGGCGGGGAAGGTGCGCGAACCCTTGACCTCTAGCATCACGCCCCTGCGCGGGGTCGTTGGGGCCCGCAACTTCGGCTGCTTCGGTCGCTGCCGAAGGTGTAAGCACGTCACAACCACCGGCAGACCCCAGGGGCGCCGATGGGCAGCTGCCGTGTCGGATCGCGCCGGGGACAGCTGTTCTTCGGCAGCGCCAGAGGAGGGGTGTCGGCGGATAGATCTACAAGGTCGTCGCTGGCGAGCGCTGCCACACATAGTACATCGGTGCGACCCCCCCCCCCCCCCTCAACTGGAGGCTGATGTGAGCCCGCGACTACTTGTCGACCGGTTGCGTTTGAGCGAGAAATTTTATGGCTCAACGAGAGGCACGCGAACGGCAAGAGCGAAGGGGGGGGGGGAGGGGGCAGAAGGCCGACCGACCACGCAGGGCACACGGCGCCCGACGTATCCTGGAAATAATCGCATACGAACGCGACTCCGAAAACAGGCCACAAGTTGGTTCAGCGATTTCCGACAACAGTGTTTTACGAAGACTATACCTATGAATAATAGACCTTTACACAGAAGGCCTTCGTTATACACTTTAGGTTGGTTAAAATAGGCGTGACCTTCCAAAAATGCACTGCCGAAGCCTTCGCACACCGCTGCCACTGTCCAGAAAGGAGGTGTTCATTCTTTTGCGTGAAAAAGTGTATAGAAGCGCAAATCGTTCGGTACAGTTGGCGACGGCTTTTCAAGGATTCGGAGGTTACGAGGCCAGCCTGTACAAACCGACGCCTACGCGTTAACGGCCTTTTTTTCAACGGCGGCCGTATATCCAACGTCCCGAACACACACACCCCTTGCTAACCACGGGATAAAGAACGGGCGCGCGTTAGAGAGTTGCCGAGTTTCAAACGGGCCATCGTAACATTTGCTTCTCTTGTAGAACGGCTATAGCTCACGACAACGCAAATCGACTGCCAATGAAGGCTACAGCACCGGGAAAGGTATAGTCTTATAGAACGCGAAAACCACCTTCACTATTGACCCTTTCGACTAATAACGGTGACGACAACACCCCTAGAGCTCGTACACACACGCGCGATCTCGTGTCCTTCGTTGTCAGTACAGCGCCGCGGTTACAGCAGCAATACGTCGACCGTCAGACTGGATGCGTACGTGACTCTAGTTCAGGGTCGCTTCACGCAATTACTTGAGTACACACATGCCATAAAGGGACCCGTGCGTCATTAAAAAAAAATGTAGGTGTGAAAGAGAAAAATTGAAATGCCGCCCGGTTCGCAGCCCGGGCAGGTGCATGCATGCTAGTAGTAATAAGGAATCATCGCCATCAATCATGTCGCGCTGAAAAGGCAGCAGAAAGGTCACTGCCTTTGAGAAAAATAAAAATAAAGAAGCTGAAGATCAGCAGCAACGCCCAGATGTTCGAAAGAACGCTACGGTGAGAGAGCGCAAGTCTACGGCACATAAAAGTAATTATGTAGGTTCACCCCGTGCTGCACAAGCACGGTTATATGCACTAAGCCTTGATCCGCAAGGGGGGCACAGCACCATCGCCTGGCCATGTTGAAGGTCCGCTTAAGCGTGCCGTCCTGGTTTTAGTGCTTCGGCGTGCAGGATGGGTTCCGGAAGTCTCCAAACATCCAAGTAGCCGTACGGATCTCGGACACAGTGCGTGGAGCGAGCGCGCAATCCTCCAAAATAGCGGCCCCCACGATACTCGCAGACGACTTCAAGTGCATAGCAGGGTTTAATTCATTCAGTGGACGCCATCAAAACATCCGACGCAGTGAAGTAGGGCGTTCCTGACACTACGCCACTGGGATATCAATCTCGTAGCCACGTTACAGGCCACACAGGAACGTCTAGCACGACGATGACCAATCAGCGTGAACTCACAAGCGCTTTTTAAAAACACTTCTTTTTCCACACGTCATCACCCACGTCTTCTCGCGTAACATTTTAGCACGCGTTCAACGCAGCAACGAAAAAAAAGAACAAAAAAATCCGCGGTCAACAACCACGGCGGCCCTGGCATTCGGCCAAGAACACGCTACACGAAGCGTTGTCCTGAGAGGTCGTATTCTGTAACAATTCGGCTTCCGAAGAGCTCGCTTTACCAACGCGCGATTGGGTGACGCCGTCGCCGAAGGGGCGTGGCCGAAGTCTGACGATGGCGTCACCCAATCGCGCGTTGGCAAAGCGCGCTCTTTGGAAACCGAATCGCTGCAGAATAGGACACTTCTACAGCGTCAGTATCAGTCCTAAAAATAAAGGTCGAAGTTGCGGAGGAGAAGACGTGCAGTTCCATGCAGTCACTCACCCAATGGACGTCCAAATCTTCTGGCTCTATGACCTGTCCGTAAAACAAAGGGGGACACTGGTCAGACGGCGGCACCCCGCCAACGCCATCTGGGGCGTGAAACGACGGTATCGTTTCCCATAAGTACCCAGAAGATGGCTTAAGTGACATCTCTGACAGCGAATTCAGAAACGAGCTCCGACTGCTTTAGTTACCGCCCCAGAAATTCGTTAAGTGCGCTGGTGCACGGTGACCTCGGGTGTGTGTATGTGTGTGTGTGTGTGTGTGTGTGTGTGTGTGTGTGTGTGTGTGTGTGTGTGTGTACATACACATGCAAAATTTAAAAATTTCGGGGAAAAACTTGAACCCTAGCCCCCCTTCCCACCCTCTCTGACTATATGCCAATGACTAAGTACTGCCCAGCCGTTCCCATGTATGCGATATTTTGAAGAGCAGTTTTTTATGCAGATGAAACAATGGCCACGTCAAGCTAGCAGAACAGCCACTTGCCTTTACACGTGGTTCCCGCTTCATTTATGATCCCACGCGTGTATTTCCCACGTTTTGTTAGTATACGTTGCACCATTCTCTTCTTGCCAGTAGCCTCTGTAGTCAACGTGTACTGCACTTCTCAATTCGCGATGTATCTTCACTACACAAGATACCCTCCTCCCAATATCTAATCGCTCCAATGCCTACATGCGATGCATGTGTGGACAAAAAACAAAGAAAGGGAATTTTACTTCTGAAATGCCAAAGCAGCACACACAGCTCGATGCTGCCAACTTACTAGAACGCGAAATGAGACGTGCAGCATGACGCTCTGCTCCAAAGCGCAAACTCATTAAAATGGCGGTGTAGACAGTTGCCTCAGGACAGGGCAGAATGTTGCACAATAGCAAAGTTGTTTTCTTGCATGTTCCACTTTCATTAATGTACTCGTATATTTTTTTTCTTCTACAGGGCTGACACTTGTTGACCATCTCCCAAATTAACAGGATGTAAATTTAACGAAAACAGATTTACTCCCTCAATTTTTCATGGCCTAAGATGTCCAACAGCTTGTTACACACTTGCGATTCACTCGATTTATGTTTTCTTTTTCTTCTTTTGACACTCATGGCAAGGTATAGCGCATTGACGAACTAAGTATAAAGAAACACAGTGCTACCAAGGACATCTTTTGAGAGTAATGCCCAACTGCAGCATTTCGTTTTACACATATGACAAGGTACGAAATGGAGGACAAAGTGAAACTATTCTACAAAAGGAAATATTTATAGAACAAACTTTTAATTTTCCATCCCTATTTTTACTGAAGCAAAATGGAGAGCATACTGGTGTGTCCAATACTGACTGCACTGGTACTGTGAATAGCTTTATAGAGCATTACTCTGAACTTTGTGATCTGGGCTTGCGATTAGGTTTGGAAATTATTAGAACAGAAACAACAAGGAGGGCACGTGATAGCAGAGTAATTAAAACATTTTTCACACCCTAGCAAATGTGCAGTAAGGTGAATGAAGACTAGCCTGGATATAATTTTAAAAAGTAAGTTACATAGCTTCCTCAAAAGCTGCAGATATTTATGTAGCACAAAATAAACTTATTATTTGCCTTTCCTGCGAATATGGGTTACTTTGTTATGATAATGAACTATTACTCTTAAGGGGACACTAAAAGAAAAACAGTGACTTGGTTTAGATAGACAAAATAGACAAACTGCTCTCTGAAAACTCTTAATGCCATATGTTTCACTATCACAAGTTGGTTATTAGCAGTGAAAATTAAGGCTGAAGTTTGCAAAGCTTCACCCCGAAATCTCTGCGCATGATTTCGAAAATTTTAAAATGTATTTTTCGCATTTTCGCGACATTGGCCAGATGAAATTTCCCGAACTTTCGTATGCTAGGTCTATGAAACCTACCGACGACAATGTGCTTCATTTTTATAGCAGACAACTTCAAAATCTATGACATCACAGCATTGGTGCGGGAATCTCAAGGTGGCATCTCTATCCACATTTTCTTTTAGCGCATTTTTTCTCACTTACCAAGCGTCGTGTGATGGTAAGAGCGGAGTTTTAGGAATTGTGAAATTGTACTTCACTGATATGCAAAAAATCACCTTGCTCTTTAGCGTGCCTTTGAAAATAATAAAAGCTGCTGAAATTCTGCTTCTTTCATAAAACTTTTTTTGGGGGGGAAGGGTGGAAGGGGGTTTGTCTGTTTGTTAGCATGGTGGCCCTCAGAAACTTATGCCATGTCTTTAGGCACAGTCGATTGCATTTCAACACATGATAACCTGTTTTCGATGTTCTAGTTTGGAAGCATGTAGATCTATGGACAAACAAAGAAAGTCGAAGTAAAATGTTTTGCTTGAATGTACAATCAGGCCACTCTCTAGATGACCCAGCATGCAAATCTCCATAATGTCTTCTGTGATTGAAATGCCTCAGTTGTACTCCTTGCCAATAACACGGTAGCACACGCAAGCGTGAACTTGGTTTGAATTGTAATACGCATATAATAAAAGTCCATGTCCGTAGTGTTTTGTGTTCAATCAATCTATATGGCAATGCTAAGCATCAACCTACTTGGGTACACCTATTCACAGTTACACGGGCAATAATACAGCCTTGGTAACATAGTTCAATCACTATTCCTAGTTGTTGTGCAGGATGCATCTTCATCCTATAGCTATGAATAGCACATCTACTGACAAAATCTCGTGCTCCGTTCAAGTAAGTTGTCGGACTCTTGAATTAAAGTTTGTGCTAAGCAAGCACACATTATGTACTAGGATATGTAGGAAACCCCCTAACATTATCATTTACTTTGTAAATGTAATTGTGAGGAACACAGCAGTCACATCACAGCAATATGGCTATTGCTGATTTTGTTAGTTATATCAGATTTTATGGTGCAATAGCAACTGAGACTATTATGCACTCGCCAAAGCCATTACATAATAAATAGCAAAGAACCATGCAATCGTAATGTTTATTTAAAAGGCAATTTTCTTTAAAAACTGAGAACATTTGACAGGGACAAAGTGAAGGCTAACGTTTCGTACTTCATATGGACATCAAAATTTCCCTTCGCGGATGTTAGCATAACGTCGGAAATTTCAAAATGGCTTTTCACATTTTAGATAGCCACATTGGTTCAAGGATTCTGAAACTTGGTGTGTTAAGTCTCTAGCTTCATTTTTCATCATCTAAGAACTATGCAGACCCTCGTAGGCATAGATGGTGTCAAAATCTGTGATGTCACAACAAGTGTGCCTGGGAACTACATACAGATGGAGTTGCCACCTGTCTTTCATAACATACAGGTGTACTCAGTACAAGTGCAGCCGTCACTTGCATTTCTTTTTGAACATTTTATGGCTTAACAAGGGTTTTCTCGCTGCAAGCCTTGTGCATATGGTATTGTGAAAGGGTAATTTGTTTACTAACATAAAATAAATCTATTTTGTTTAGTGCCCTTTTAGCAGTCATTAAAAAGGTCCTTAGTTGACAATGTAGCTAATGCTCTGCCCAACGACCCGGCCCGCAAACTCCTGTGACGCTGATATGTACATTCGAAATTATGATCTTGTCAAGCTTCGCTCCTGGATAGCGAAGCTTGATAAGCTCTTGACAAGCTTCTCTTGCTATACAATTATGATAACAGTAACAACTGTTTCTTGTGAACTATTCCCAAAACGTTCATTCATGTCAAAAGTTAAAAGTTTGCACATACACTCTTTTATATTTAAGCCATTGAAAGGTAGGCTTTTTACAATTATCATTGCACTTGGTCTTGCAATGTTTACCCTCCGTTAATGTGCACTAAATGCTAACAGTACTGATAACTAAACTTAGGCAAAATTTTTAACAAGAATATTTATTTATCTTCCAGAGGGTTGATACTGCTTTAAAGATATGATCTTTCAAAAAGAAAGACAGATAATTGTATTATTTAAATTTATTAGTGTGAACGAGTCAAGCAAAGTAAAAGAAAATATCTGTTGATTATAGGCCACTTACCAAATAGTCTTTTATTTATGAGCTCCAATGGTGATATGTGTGAATAATGAATAATGGACTTTGTTTTTACGTTCCTTCATGGACTAATTTAGTTTTAGACAGCCCTGTTCCAAATGAAATTTAGTTCTCAATGTTGAGAGCCAGAAAACAACAGTACAATATTGACAATTACAAAACTTCCCAGCCACACAACTTGACTTGGTTTTAACAATGTGTATTAGTCTGCCCCTGCTACATCTGCTTGAAGTTTGCGAGAAGGCATGGACACTATGTGGAACTGCCCCCTCACAAACTTCGAACATCATAAAGTTGATTTGATGGCCAAACGAATCAAGGACTGTCATGCCACAAGTCAACAGAGGAAGATGATCTTGCGAGCACATTTACTAGAAAATATATGTTTTCATCACAAGCGCAACATTTTTCAAGATGATGACAGTGTATTCAAATAGTCTCGAGCGAGTAACTTCCCAATACTTTGGTATATTGTTCTTCAATACTTTAGTATATTTGGGTACTTCAATTCTACGGGAACATTAATGTCTGTGGTTGAATTTCCATCAAGCAGCAGTCGATATTTTGAACAGAGATCCTGCGATCACTTGTAACAAGATTACACAGCACCTTTGTCTCGACAGGAGAGACTTTCTTTTTCCTAACAAGAAGTTAAATCGAGCGCAGGCTTTGACTGTCAGACTACTGCAGACAGGTTCGTATCCCAGCCCAGCTTTTTTGCGTAAAAATTATCCCGACATTTATCCTAACAGCCCCCGCAAGCGCTGCAACGAATTCGCTGGCCTAGACCACATGCTCTGGCATTTCCCCTCGTTACAGGACACAAACCAATCCAATGAAGAAAAGTGGCTATCCGCTATCAAGAACCCCAATGTTGGGGACCACTGTGGGCTGGCTGCCCAGAGGGGCCACGATGTGGGGGTCGGGCTCTGCCTGACTGTCCCGACGTGGGAACAACCTGCTGCGCGTTGACTCATGCACCTCAGTACTTACAATCAAGTTTTGCATCCAATCATTTGTTGTGGCCGCGGTCACATTTCATATTTGAGATAGCATTTATTTGTGAAAATCTGGAGATTAAGTCGAAATTCAAGAGTCACCCAGACAATTCGAGAGAGTTGGCAAGTATGTGTAATATTACATAGTAGTTATCATTGAATAGCTACAGATTGTGTAAAAATTACACGAGACCGCTGTGACTATCCCTAAGTAAATGTACGACCTCACTAAACTGCATGTAACAGGTTACAGTAGAATTAAAGAAAATCAATAATCTGCACACACCTTTCTTGACAAAACAATTATTAGGGGAAAGAACGAAACTTCCCCTAGGAATGTGAAATCTAATACTGATGGCACTCGTTGCCATCAAATTTCAGCCTGATTTTCAGAAAGCAAATGTGATCCTACAATAATCATAATGTTAAATCAGAATGAAAATGAGAATCAATTTGTTTGTGTTAATAAACAGTGATAATTACATCACATCTATACCCAGAAGGAGATCTTGCAGTTAGAAACTGATTCTGGCAATCGTTCTATTACAATAATGATTGTTAATGGAGCTAACATTTTTTGGCGACCCTTCTAATGTTGCAATACATGAGCATGGGGCAAGATTGAAATAAACATGACAGTACACAGCTTAAACCAACTAGCAATTACAATCCGTATTTGAAACCATTATGGTGTTTGTAAATTAGAAATACAAAAATATTCCCAGGAGGCAAAGAGGCAACACGATCGACACCACATGCAAGTGAGATGCAGGCATTGTTCAGGGTCTGCACCAAGCAGGCTACGTTACAGGGAAAGCAAACTGCTATAAACCCTTTAGAAACCCTACCAAAGCTGACAATTTGGCATTTAAACATCGTATGCCTGCCTGCCAACCTGGGGACCTCGAAATTTGAGAGATTCGTCAAGAAAAAGGGGGGGGGGGGGGGAAGATGGAAAAAACATAAACAAAAAATGCTGCCTTTGGCAGTGCCAGAAGAACATCGATTGTCACTGCACAGCGCAAGGGCTAGATAATCGCAAAGCAACATGTGCTACGCTCCACAACAGTGGACCCCTTTTCTATTCTTAGCGTCGATGCATGTGTCGACACCACCATACTGCAATGAATTAGGGATGCACATCGAACCTTTACATCATGATCATCATTTTCAGCCTGTGCTAGTCCACTGCAGGACGAAGGCCTTTCTCAATGATCGCCAGTTTACCTTATCCAGTGCGAGCTCATTCCATTTCATCCCCGCAAAACCTCCCGATTTCATCACTCCATCTAACTCTCTGCCTTTGCAGACTATTTTTCACTCCTTGGTAACCATTTTGTTGCACTTTCTGTCCACCAGTTCTCTTGTTTTTTTTTGTTTTTTTTTTTTTTTGCATCATGTGATCAGTTCAGGTCCCCCCCCCCCCCCTGTTTTATTGACGCCAGCTAGGATATTTGGAACTACTGTCTGTTCTCTTACCCATTCTGCCGTCTTCCGATCTCTCAATGTTATTCCTATCATTCTATGTTCCATTACACGCTGATGATCCTCTAGTTGTCTGGTCAATCTCTGCGTTTCAGCCCCATATGTCAGAACTGCCAGTATGCAGTGCTTGTATACTTCTTGCTTTCATCATAGTGGCTGATTTCCAGACACTATTTGGAAGTGTGTGCCAAACGTGCTCCAGCCCATTCGTATTCTTCAGTGAATTTCTTTTCTGTGATTATGTACTCCCGTGAGCAGTTGTACAAGGTATAAATATCCTTGTATAAACTCCAAATGTATAGTGTTCTACCTTGAGTTATTTCTGTTTTTCCAGGCCATTCCCCACTATCTGTTTTCCCCATATTCATTTTGAGGCCTAACTTCATACTTTCACCGTTGAATTCCTCAATCACCTTTTGCAATACGTTGCTGTCGTTACTGATGAGCACAATTTCATCATCAAATCGTAGGTTGATCAGCCATTCTCTGTCAACCTTTATTCCTGGTTCCTTCAAGTTTAACTTTTCAAACACTTCCTTCAAGCACGCATTCAATGACACTGGGGCATAGTATCTCATCTTACTCCTTTGTCCATCGCAATTTTATTACTTTCCTTGTGAAGAACTAACGCAGCAGTGGAGTCTTCGTAGATGTCAGCTAAGGTATCGACATAACGTTTAGGTACTTCTTGTCAATTTAATGCTTTTGAAACTGCAGATATTTCTACAGAGTCAAATGCCTTTTCACAGTCTATGAAGGCTAAGGGTTTTGTTGTATTGAGCGGCTTTCTCCAATACCCGATTTATCGCATGAATGTGATCCGTTGCAGAGTACCCTTTCCTGAACCTAGCTTGCTCTTTGGGTTGGTTGAAATCAAGTGTTTCTATTGTTTTGTTTAAGATTACTTGCCTCAATATTTTGTATATCGCCGAAAGTAAGCTGATAAGCCTGCAGTTCTTCTAGTCTCTGATGCCTCCTTTCTTACTTATTAGTGTAATCTTGGCATATTTCCAACTAGCTGGAACCACTGTTATCTTGAGCCCTTAGTATAATGCATAGCTTATTACTTCCAAGTAGATTCCCCTAACAAAATCTATTGTTATTCTGTCATTACCAGCTGCTTTTCCACGTGGCATATCTTGTATGGCTTTTCTTTCTCATCGGTAGTTACACACGAGACTCCCACTAGATGTTAGATGACTTACTTCAAACTATATATATTACATATCTCCACATAGAATTCCCCTGCCACTTGAACCATGTCCTCCAAATTTTGACAATATTTCCCTGCTTGTCCTTGAAAGCGTGCATTTCATTTCTTCCTATACAATGTCTCTTAGCACTCCTAAACGCATATTTCAAACTGGAGCAAACTAAGTAAGACCTTGACAAAAGTGGCTTAGATTTAAACATGACTTCGGTTAGCTAATTAAACTAGTAGCCTATATGGCAATTAAGATGTGTTGCATTACACAGCATTTTTTCGGAATTTAAATTTTTTCACAACGAGGCCATAGCACTCTATCGGAAGATTAGTTGCTGTATCTGTGCAAACAAAAACATTAATCTGAATTTAATAATATTCCAACAAAGTGAGAAAGGTGGCAATTATGTGCACAGCGCTCTGAGGGGGACATTGTTGTGAAGGGCTATGAATCGATTTTGACCAAATAGTGATTTCTTTAATGTGCACTGCTAAAGGATACAAACATTTGCATTTTTCTCATTCTGAACCAATAATTACCCAGCCAAAGACCAGCCATAAAAGCTTTATTTCAAGTTAAAACATATGATATATCTGCATGTGTTCGTCTACCAAGTTAGCAACTGTGACCATTCTTGGAGCATCCCAGAAGCGTGTATACAGCAAGATATCATGAAATATTTCGAAGTGATACAGCAAATCACAAGCGAACCTACATTGGCTGTAAATTTCTAGGATTTTTTTTCTTTTTTTAGGTTTTTTTTCTTTTATTGTATTATGTGAATAGTGCTTTCCTTTGTGTACGTAGTCAGGCTTTAACACTAATCTTTCTGGCGGCCCCTGATCCCATCATAAATACCTACGTTTGAACAACAGTTAAACATTCATGTTTATGTTTACAACTACCAGCAAGCCATGATAAAGTAGATTCAGATGAAACAAGCACATAACTATGCTTTACAATTTGGCACTCCTTCCCGACATTTACGGCATGCACAAAGCTATCCGAGACCTCAAAACCTAAGGGCCGTTGTTCACAGAACAGTCAACTTATAATGAATAAATAGAAATATACTCACGTCTCTTTTCCTTTTGTTCGTGATACCTGCAAAAGACAAGCATGATTTAAAATCCAGGTATTGCACAGCGCAATATTTATTAGAGCTGATGGCTGCATGCACTCTCTACAAGGCAAAATGAGAGACACCAAACCAAGATGTGAGGGTTAATGTGTCAAAAGTAAACATAGCACATAGGCTATAGTATAAGCCACGTTTGTAAGGTATTGGTAAGCCCCGATTTTAGCAGTGCAGTGAGGGACCACGGCTAGAAAAAGAAGGTGGACAACACGGGAGCTGACTCGCATCTGGAACGTATTAAGAAAAAAAAAAAACATTCAGATATAGAGGTGAAGTAAAAATAGAATAAAAACATAATTTGTGTAATCAACATGTGCAGGTTGCACCTAGGTATTGAAATTTCGTATCACTTAGCAGTACAGAAGGTAGACTGATACATTTTTCTCCTTTGGATGATGTGAAACTCTTCGATGACTTCTCTTGCAATTGGTAAGTCATGACTCATAGTAAGCGCACATGCTGAACAAGTAAGACATACCCCCATTGTGTGTCTCACGGATTCTTTCACGTCTTAACGTGATTGTGCATGCAAACTCAATTCGTTACAATGGATGCAATCTCATAGGATAGCCTCCCACTTGACGTTAGCCACTTGTGTTCACTTAACTCTTTCACAGTTTCTGATGCATTCATTTCATCAAAAGCGATTAGCAGATTCTGCACTATGACAAACTGGTTTTGCAATTAGTGTATCAACACTTTCTACGTGGCTCCTTGTGGTCGTCGAAAGGTGTTTTTTACGCGCCATACATGTATGACATCACCGCTTTTGTTCTCGGCGTCTTTATTCAAAAGTTTATTTCTTTTAAACAACATGGCGGCAGGTGTTGAATGCCAGACATACTTTCCCTCTTCTCGTGATATTTCTCCAACCCACTTCAACGAGTGCAGAATCATCCGTACAATGTTTTAGCGTGGTGGATTGCAACTCATCTACAGAAGACTAAAAGCGGTGAGTATGTTAGCTTTCTGTTTTATTCCACGAGCCAAGAATAGTGTAACAACACTTTAAAACAACAGTGAGTAGAAGACTAAGGAAGTGGTGATGAAAAAGTTGCCAGCTACTACAAATCAAGTTTTTTGACTATCGTTTCGCACCCTAAACATGCCACTGAAATGTTTCCCACCATAAAAAGATTGGACCAGAGCAGAGCCACCAGTTTGACATTAGTAGAATGGGCTTAACGTCAAAATGCAAAGAAATTCCACCGTGCAAAATTGCACGCGAATAAGCAGGCTGTGCCATTAGAGCAGTCTTGGCACAAGGCTGATGAATACTGAATTCGAACACCGGAAAACCTTCAAACAGCGGCCTAAAAGCAGGTGGTATGGGCACGTGATGGTCACAGATACGATGCAAATAATGAAAGCGTGCCACATTCGAGGACCGCTTGTATTTGACTGTCATACTGGAAAGCTGCAACACTTCTCAATGTTTCAAGTTACGGGTCATTTTCAGCAAGAAATTATCTTCCTTTACTTCCCTCTTTCTATTTTCTCAGATTCAGAATAAAAAATGTGAATTATACAAGTGCTCTATGATGCATTCACTCATATTTCAAACTTGAGGAGAACCTATAACAAACCGCTCAATTAGGAGCACAATCTTTTACACATTCTATAAACAAATGTACCTTTTCGCTTATAGTCGAGGCCCATTTGAACACTAAGGGTGAGAAAAGATAGAGATAATAAAATGAGGAATAGACAGCGAGGTCAACCACATTTATAGCCTCGCATTTGCTAAGTGGATGGAGAAAAGAAAAGAAGGATGGAAACCAAAAAAAAAAAAAAGAGATGCACAGGTGCATGAAAACAATGATGAGAAGCGGGAGTATTGCAGTATATTCAATAGCCCACTAGCAAGCAACGAATTCAATAAGGCCTTTGGTGATTTCCTATATGATATAGTTTAGGAGACATAAGCACAAACGTCAACCAACCATGTGCAGCAAGAATTTGAGTTCATCAACAGGATGCACACAAGATGCAGAACGCTGTGAGCTACGATGACATGCTCAAGCATCCTTTCCACTGTTTGAGTAAGATTTTTTTTTTCTTTAACTGCAACTAAAGATCACGAAAAACTTGGCACAATGCACAGCCCAGCACAAAAGCTATGATGCGGCACTATGGAGACATTCCATGTGATCTAAAGAGGTGCTTCTTATGTGCCCCTATAATTAATGCTCAAAATTAAAGTAGTATTATTATCCCTCCATATATTTTTTGCTGCTTATGCTCTGCTTTTGCCACACTATTGGAACAGGTGGAGAAGCAGTGCATGCGCGGCAAGCTGCAGCCCACCAACACGAACCGCAACATGTGTTGCGAGTGCCACCTAGCAGTCACCCACAAAAAAAATTTTTAAAATAAATGCTACACGGAGCTTCTGGCATTACCGTGACGTGGTCGGATGCTCTGATCAGCGAGCGTTTTGTCGCAACAAAGAAAACAGGTAACATAGAAGTGTGTTGTTGGTCCCGTTACTTTAAATGAAAATTCTGTTAATACTTCAACGTGCGTCGGCAAGTTGACAGATCCTACAAGCTGCTGGAACAGTGGTTCAAAAAAGAAAGAAAAATATGCCAAGAATTTTAGGAAATCTTCTAAGGCCCCAAAAAAGCACTTTCAAGAACTGAAGTTTTGAAGCAACAGCATGCCTGACTGCCCTAAAGCGTGTGGTACAATATGCCAAAAGCTTTTCTATCGTAAAAAAAAAAAAACAAATAAAAATAAAGCTAGGAAGGCTTTTGCTACAGAATAAGGTTCGGTTAATTGCTCTATCACACTTTTCTAACTTCAGACATGCCCCTTTCACTGTGAGAAGAGGGCTGATGATAATAACTAAAAAAGAAATGAGTATGAAAGCCAAGTGGTAATGACCCCCTGCAGTACCCACACTTGCTGGTCACGATGCCACTGATTTGGTCAGCATCTGCTCATGTACAGATGGTCTTTCACAAGCTAAAGACAGACTGAGCACAAGACTGAGCACAAGACCGAGCTTCAGTTTTGAGAACCTTCGTGACTCTAGACGACCAGAACACTTTTCTCGATTTAATCCACCCCTGCATATAATCCACATCGTTAACTTTACGAAAAAGAAAAAAATATATGCATTTCATCGCAGCTTTTAACCTGCACACCCACTTTTTTAAACACAATTTCCCTCTTTTTTTTTGGTGCTAGTAACAATGAAAAAATATATTCTTCTACATTTATAACCTGAGGCTGGCATACCAAACTAGGGCTTCAGTATGAAAAAAAAAAAAATTTGCTTTACCTTCGTTACTTGTTTAGCGCTCTTCCTTCAGGATTAATCATGCCTTGGAAATAATTCGTTCTTAACAGGCTTGGTATTTATATTAGTAAGACTTTGATGCAAACAAGAAAACTCCATCACGCATACCTCTTCCCATTATTAAATGGCTCAACAAACAACCCACTGTAAGCACACTCAACAATACAATTTAGGAGTTTTATGTGCCGAAATAGCCATATGATTAATAGATCTGCCCTAGTGCAGGGCTTCAGGTTAATTTCGAGCGACTGGAGTTAATGTGTACCTAAATCCAATATCCAATTACATGGTTGTTTATGCATTTTGGCCCCTCTGCAATGTGGCCGCTGTGGCCAGCAAGCGAACCTGCAACTTCACGATTCCCTTTGGTATACTCCATCTTACAACTAACTTGCAGCCCCACCAAAGCTTCAAGGAGTACACAGGCCGCATCCCTGCGCGGCACATAATATAGTTCCAGGCGTGACTGTTTCATTATTAACGAGATACAAGGGTTGTAACAGTGCTTAGTGCACGACATGTTACTGCACTCCCTGTTACGTTAGGCCCTTCGCGCATGCACTTCACATTTTCTCAATTACTGCTGCGATTACCGGCCGGTAACTGTAATAGCCACCTTAACTGCGATGACATAGAGCAACATGGCAGACTTGATAGAGACTAGACCATCGGCTTCTGTCTGAATTTGTGCTTTTTACTGGCTCTCTCCCCAGGGAGAAAGAAGAGGTATTATCTGTCATTAAGTAAGTCTCATCTAACGTTGAATGTAAAGCATCAGGTATCTTTCTGTAGCCGTTAGTTAAATCACTCGTTTGTCTTGATGCTGTTAGGACTACCGAGGTGGACGCCGAGCCATAAAAGTGGTTTGATGTCAACTGAACAGATGGCACCCCAACATTCGCGCAGGTGATGCGTTGACAATGCGAAACAGCCTGAATGTCTACATTGTTTTCTGTGCCAATTATTTGCTGTACCACTTTAGAATGGTCTGTTATAGCAGCTGAAAGTGAATTGACTGAATCTGCAGAGCACTGTAAAGCAAACATCCGGTACATTCCGAAATAGGCAAGATTAGTAAGGCTCAATGCGTTGGGCTTCTTGAAAAAAAAAAAAGAGAGCAGTGATAGCAACAGTGTGAACACTGTTATAAAAAAAACCTCATTCTTCACAAATGCCAGAAAACACACCCTGTACAAGTGGGTTTCTGAACATCAAAGCAACAGCGAGGTCGCGTTTCCAAAGAGATTTTATGTGTTACATTAACTGCAAGGAGCAAATGTTGACAATGATTTATTGATATGCGGGGTTTAACGTCCCAAAACCACTGTATGATTATGAGAGATGGTTTAGTGGAAGACTTCAGTAAATTTTAACACATGGGGTTCTTTAAAGGGGTACTGACATAAAATTTCACGGCCGAGATAGCCTGCACGGTCGATTCCCGGGAACACAGATATATCATCTGCAAAATATCACCAGCGAATATAGCTTGGAAGGTATTTTAAATTAATTTTGAAGTTTGCATAAACTCCTGACTCCATCGTCTCATTAACACCCTCGAAGATGACCCTTTGGGGACCCCCTACTTCCTTCCGGTCACCACCCTGCAGTCAATAAAAGAAGTTACGACGACATCACAACAACCATTTTTTTTTTCCCACGTTTGTTTCCGCAGTCTATACTTCTCGGCAACAGGTTGCCGTGGGGCACGTTTTGAAAATTTCGTGTTTGGCGACACTGCAGTCTTATTTTTTATTCGAAAATGATTCTTGATGCCGACCGTGTGAAAGTGTGTCACAGTTTGCATGCTCACGGCGTCAAGAGCTGCACATGCAAAGTGGCGATAGTTGCACCCGGTTTTCGGAGCTCTTTCAAACCGGAATGAAACTGCTTGATAATGAGGGGCCTGAAACTAATTATCTGTTGCGCGCTGCAGCAAACGATGAGCCGTGTCATGACTAACAGGCCCCCAGCAACACATCGCAGCATAAAAATGCGAGGCTAATGTTTTTGTGTCAGTACCCCTTTAACATGCACCCTAATCTGAGCATGCAGGCCTACAGCATTTTCGCCGCCATCGAAAATGCAGCCGCCGCAGCCCTGATTCGATCCCACGACCTGCGGGTCAGCAACCACAAATATTGACAAGGTGGGTAAGCCAACGCCATAAAGACGACGAGCAAATGAAGCAACGCGGATGAACACGCCCTGAAGGGCATTCGTCTTTCCTATTGGCTAACAAGTCCTGTAGCTTCCGCAGTAGGTGCGACGTACTACTCAGGTGGCGTATAGTTATAAATTAACAATAACGAGACAGCTGAAGCCCAGTTAATTGCTCAATTTTCTCCCTAAACACAACTTGTGCCTAAGCAGACATGGGTACACTTAGCATACGAGATAGTAATAATAGACAGATGAATTTTGGGACTTTCCTGGAATTTTTTTTATGGCCTAGGCTGTATGTTGGCTCTCAATCTCAGTGTACTGTGGTTACCTTAATGGAGAACCACATCAACCTAAAAAATATAATTCAGTTCAGAAAGCTATGACAACGTCCAGACGACTTTGATACTTTGCATTTCTGGTAGCATGTGATGATAGACTAATTTCTGTGGTATTCAGTGAAAACAGCAATTATTTAGTAATTTACTTGATGAGTTATGATGGACATAAAACTCACTTAAAAAATATTAACAATGTCGTAATGGTCTTCGTGCATGGTTTTACTAAATCTTACTTTGTACTTAAAATTGAATGCTCAAGTGCCATATAAAAGAAAGTCCAACAAATGACCAGCCCTTTATTTTTGTGAAGATTGCTTGGACTCAATGAACAACAAGAAATACAGGCGGGCACCTACAACATTGTTTGCGAATCATTTCTATTTCCCACACAACGCAGAAACGAATGCGGAGTGAAACTTCCATCCCCTGGCTCTGAAGAGTCATCAAAGCTGGCAATCTTCAAGCAGGTTTGACAAATCCATTAGATGACGTGCATTTCATGCCTCATCTTGCGTTGGGTCACGTCACATAAAGATCTCCGCACAGCGACGATAGTGTAATGGCAGAAGACCTCGTTGTTCGGGTTGACCAGGCTCAAACAGCTCCAAAGCACAAGCACAGCAATCGAGAACAGAGCCCATTCAATGTATTCCAAGACAAACGCAAGGACAAGGTGCGCCCTAGCAGCGCTTCACTTTTCCATTTGCGCCAACGAGACTGACCACCATCTCAGTCCGATTCCAGGGACTTCCCTTTTTGCAATAGGCGTGCCTCATCGACACCCGCGAAGGTCACCGGAAAGAGAACAGTCCATCGCTGCCACCATCATATCCACCACCATTTGCAGTCTGGTTGTGATGATCCCAACAGCTTGATCTGTTCCAGTTGTCCGCCATGGTGCGAAAGTACAGTTTTCCCCCGATGGTGCCAACAGTTTTGCAGGTTGCTGCGATGATGCTGCCTCTTCTTTTCTTGCACTCCACGGAGTTCGCACAGCACAAGCTTCCGGGTAAAGTTTGACAAGCCACTTTCCCCACGTGTCGACGAACAGCGCCACCTTTCTCGTGCACAGGGACCGAACTCAACAGTAACATATGTAAAGGTCACCATACCTCTGCTGGTGTCCGCTGGTAGTAGCCGTTGCTGAGCTGCACTGCCATATTGGAAGTAGGCTGGATCGTTTGGTGCTATTGGCTCTGCGCCGGGAAAGTTGCCCAGGCCATCCTGCATGATGCAAAAAAAAAAAGGGGGGGGGGGGGGGAGAATTTTACCATATGTTCAAGAAAAAAACAAGCTCAAATGCAGAATGGTAACAGTTTAAAAATAAATCCATTAGAACAGCAGCACAATTTTGAAGGGTAGCTGTAAGTACAATCGAAAGATGTCGACGCTCCTTGATGTTGCAAATTAAGGAATTTCATGAAGTAAATCTAACATGTATTCCAAACTTGATATCGGACAGGCTAGGGACTGGCGCCGGTTACAGCGCCAGTCCCTAGCCTGCCCGAAACACCTATCCTAACCTACTAATACTCAACAAAATCCGCCCAACACAGTACCCGGACACATGTCTGAGGTGTTTGGAGCGGCCATCTCTTACCCACATAATGTGGACGTGTAGACTCAGGCCACCCGAAATAATTCACCACCTTTATTAGGAAAAACCCACTGGAGAGGCAGTGGGGAGGTCTGGCTTGCGAGCAAGGATCGAGAGAGCCAAGTTGCTCTGCTCGATCAGGACCAGCAAGCCGCAAAGGTCAGTGGGGCCCTGGACTATGGGGAACCACCCACCTTCTTCCGAATTCCCTCTAGTACAATATAGTTTCTACTACTACTAATCTAACATGTACTTGCCAGTATAGTGACATAACAAATAATTGCTTATAACAAAACCACGTTTCTGTGTTAACTGTGCCAGTCCTGGAAAACAAGGTTTAGCTGTGCTTTCGCATTCTGGGCCAAATGTTGCCACAGACGAGGTGACTTCTGTAATAACAAATAACACACTATGGGGGGGCTTAGCATAACTACAGGCTTCGAGAAGGCTGAAATTTTAGCCTTTCTGCCATTTGCAGACAGTTTCTGGTAAAACATGCCTGTGTCTATGGTTCTCTTCCTTGCTCAACTTTTACAATCAGAGGTGACTCTCCCAGAGCCCAGTGCTATAGTGACACTGCCGGTCACCAAGATCATGCTTCTATTTCAAACTGTGATTATCAAAATTAAGCTACATATTCTAAGTTATGCTCCAACACAGCTCCTTTGCTATAATTTAGGCAGCTAAATATTTATTACAAATGCAAGTGTAAGCCACTGATCTGGTAAGGATTTCAAATCGTCAAAAAGTACGGGAGTCTGATAGCAAGACACTATGGTTTCTCAAGGCAAATGCCAAAGTTCGCCTGTAGGCTAACCATCACTGAAAGGGTGTTTAGAGGTGCCAATTGAATGAGAACACAGTGACAAAGCACAGCGGCTTGCCATCGATCAAAGTTATGCACACACTGAAAGATTGAAGGCAGGGACATTTTTTCTTTTAGCTTTTGAATTATGCTTCACAACTCACCCACCCCTTATCTTTATTGCAAGTAAGTGTGCTTCTGCGCACTGCAGATCTACCCTATTAGTGATTCATGTCATCAGACAAGCCCACAAATACCGAGTGGAACACAATGACACTAATCTTGACAAACTGCCTAGTGGAAAAACTGACCTTACAATAGTGAAACATCCCAACCATAAATTACAGTCCGAGTGGTGCAAAAATGGCTTAAACAATGATATAACCTAAACGTAACAGCTTCTTCCCTATCCTGTTGGTTTTTCTGTATAATTTAGTTTGAATTCAATTTTCATACTATGCTGAACTTCCTGAACCATGCACAACAAGAAACCTTTCTACTATTACATAAGGCTTAGCTAAGGCCCCGTTGCTACTGTTCGCAGTGGTGCCTCGGCAGGTATGACCCATTGCCATCGATGTCATGAATTCTAACTCCTTGCCCCGATGATGGCACCGTATTCATGGAAACATGATATTATATGTGGGGTTTAACGTCCCAAAACCGCCATATGATTATGAGACACGCCGTAGTGGAGGGCTGTGGAAATTTCGACCACCTGGGGCTCTTTAACGTGCACCCAAATCTGAGCACACGGGCCTACAACATTTCCGCCTCCATCGGAAATGCAGCCGCCGCAGCCGGGATTCGATCCCGCGACCTGCGGGTCAGCAGCCGCGTACCGTAGCCACTAGACCACCGCGGCGGGGCTTTGGTGCATGCTAAAGTCTTCCATGAATTCTAAGCTTATATGACATCTTCAGCACAGCAGGGCTGAAATCTGGTGCATTGATTTGATGAATTGTACAGTGTCGATCAATGCACCTTTAAATTATGACAAGGCCCTCAATTAATAGAAGTCTCACTAGGACATTGCATGCAAGCATGGCATTAAGTAAGACATGCAAGCTTATGTAATAAACAGCCAACACTGAAGGAAATGCATTAGAATAATTGTCTATATATATGCTCATGCATTGTTTAGCACACAACACACATGGGAATAGATACAGCCTGTTACTAATGCTCATTTAAGCATCGCTTATTTTAATGTTCCTGCCCTCATCAATCAACAACCTGCTCTTTCATACTCGACAATAGAAGGAAAGGCCTTGGCATTTTAGTGGCGTTGCCCCTTCTCAATTGGAATGACTAACCCAGAAATAAAACTAAATGTTTTTTTTTTCTAACATTTACAAAAGAAAACAATCCTTTCCATAAATATCAATGACTTCTGTCTCAATGTAACCGCATCATCTGAGGCGTGCAGCTGCAGTGGAATGTGTATTGCGAGCTTTCAAATTGAAGTTTTCCACAATGTTTTGTTTCATCAAACACAGCAATGATAGGAAGAGGAGCCCCAGAAAGTTCAGTCAAGTGTACTTCGTAATTTTCTGAACATTTCACATGCCCCCACATTTTGTCCGAACATTTCACAGCCAAAAAACTTGGCTGTCATCTTAGAAGTAAGCATCACTACCATAGTAAGCGAGGAGTATTCCAAACAAGCAATTAAAAAGCCTTCATGCACTTGCAATCATACTGAACAGATCAGAGTTGCTCTTCTATAGTGGGAATGTGCAGAAAATAAAATATTAATGGCTGCCAGCAACAAAACTGCTGACAACTGACTTCATGAACACCAAGAGGAAGATTCAATGCCAATGTGAACTTTCCTTCCAATGAAAAATTCGAAATTTCCTCGTCAGCATAGATATCGCACACCCACCTTACTTCCGAAACATTTATTTTGCTCCCAAGATGAACTTCTGAACGCTCCACTGAGCATAACGAGACACGAACCGAGTTCTTACTGAAATAATCGCGACGGCAGCTGGCATCCTAGAAAACTATCGAGTGCTCCTTTACGAAAGTAATGCTATTGACACTTCGGAAGTTGAAGCATCCCAAAGCCTGCGTATCATCAGCTTCCAAGTATGGCAAGAAGGCGAACACATGGGCGCTCTTTTGCCGGGCATCAGCCGTTACGCTGAAGTTACAACACAGAACACAAGGCGAAAGTGAGTACTCACATGTTGTAGTGCATCTTCCCCTTGAGTGGAGTAAGGCATTCCATAAGGCATTTCTCGACTTTTTTCTGAAAGGGCAAACAATGACGCATTCTGAGCGGTCCCAATAGGCCAAGAGAAGCACGAGCACGATTCCACGCGGAGCAGACACACGAAACCGAATGCGTTCGGCGTATCCACTCATTGACAAAATGCGAGCGCCAGTGTAAAGAGCGTGAAAATGCGCGCTAGAAGTGCGTAAAGCACGCGACGCGAAAGCTATCGCAGGCGTTTAAGTTTAATGACAAGATGGAACTCATGCTCTCGCTTAAAGTAAGTTTGCAACACACGAAAAGTAACTCGGAGGGTAGCACGAAGACACGCAAGTCTATCCGCGTCCAAGGCTGTACGGTGAGAACGGAGAGAAAAGTCTCTCGACTGTCAAGTGTAAACAAAAAAATTGCACAAACACACTCGCCGAGCGCGTGCAAGCCGTAACGTAAACTGCCGCGTGAAAGCCCAGAGAAAGCGCTATCAAGCATTTTCGGGGGTTACCGCCGTGGCTCGACCCACAAGCCGGTTAGAAATATCGGCGCGAAGAAGAAGAAAAAAAAAAGTTTCGCTATCCACTGTCTCCTCCAAGCGGCGTTGGGAGCTCGGGACACACAAGCGCCGATCGGAGCTCGGCTCCTACGGGACAACGTCATCCGTTGACCCGTTCCCCAGCTAACGTTAGCATTCCGAGACAAAATACTCGCTAAACCAACGGCCCGCAACGCTTTGCAACGCAAATTAACGTCTTTTCCTCGCCTAATACGTTCGTTAAGCCTCACTGGTGATGCTTTTGTCCGCAAAGAGCGTCTTCCGTGCATGCCCTATCCGCGCGGCCTCCGAGAGGCAACCGAGCGAAACCGTCAGCAGCGCGATGGGAACAAAGACCGCTGGTCTACTCACCTGGCTGTTTATTCGCTATCTTATTGAAACAATTTTGAAACACTTCATACAAATGCATCGGCTCATCGTCGTTTGTCGCCATGATAACACCAACATTGACACTCTCGACCTAAACAAGTGCGAGCCGAGCGAGAAACGGAGTAGAGGTCGCTGCTGATCGAAAAAAAACGTCCTAAGATGGCGGCTCAAATGTTTCCTCAAACGGCGCTGGTTTCGTTTTTATCCGAAATCGGTACTTTATCGTGGTTCGCTGCTCGAGATTCTTCAAATAAATCTTGTAGTTCACTAGACACTGCTGTAAGTATTTTTTTCTCACGCTTTTAAGTAAGGTAACTAACGGAATAAGTTTCTAATTACCTGAAATACGATGTTTTCAAGCTCATCACAAAATACGGTGGTAAAACGGGCACACTCGAAACGTGATTGAATTCCAATCAGCATTGAACTGCTGGATTTTTATCAACCTCCTTTCCTATATTATGCAAATGAGCCAATCGCTATTGAGACACACTATCTCGATTGAGCTCAATTGCGATGTAAACTGCTACATTTGGCACCCTTACAATATTTTGTGCAGGTTTAATATTTTGAATTCAACCACCACTAAAGTATTTTATTTTTATGTCGTTTGCTTTTGCTAGAGCGTACTTTCACCACAATCATTTACGCATATATATTAACTACAGCTACATGGCGGCGCTAGTCACCATGCCAACGATAGCGTACTTCATTGCTGAGTCTAGGTGGTCGGCGAGCTGAGTTCGTTCCTTCTGTGCGCGCTGCTTCTGCATCTGTGCGGTCGTCGAGATGCCGTTTACTGATGGATATCAATTTCCAAGTGACAGCGAGCTAAATATTGAAGAAGTCAACATCTCGACGCCCGCACTACGTGCCGGAGCGTATTATTTCGGGAAGGTCTGCGAGGAACCGAGCAAGGTAGCGTATGGGCAAACGATGGCCGTGTGCGTTCGTTAATCGCTCAGATTTTCGTTATGCTTGGCGTCTACTGATAGTGTGCAGGTGATAAAAATCGAGTATACCGTTAAGGTTTGTAACTGCGACAATAGTATGTGTACTGGCCGTTTGCATCTCTGCAAAGAACCCGAAACTGCCTAGTGTGACCTTCCGCTTTCTCTAAAGGCCGAAACCGGCATGTGTAATTTGTATCGATGATTTGCGCGTTGGGTCCAGCAGTGATTGCGCCGGACCGGATTAAAGAGGGCCCAGCAAAACACGTGGCATTTCACATGAAAGATCTGTTAAATTTTTCTTCGTGTCGCGTCAGCAGGCATTGCTTTCACGTCTCATTTTCTAGCAAGCGAAGCGAAAGCTTCTTGCCAAGAAAACAAGCATTGGCGCGATCGCTCGATTATATTTAGTTCATAGTTGTATCCAACGCCTTATAACATGTTTCATGTCGTGTCTAGTCAAGAAAGGCCGCATTTTTATGGCAACGGTGGGGCCATGTTGTACTGCTTGTTCCGCAAAGCAACCTGGCCGGAATCCGCGTTTTGAAACCTCTATAAATGCCGCAGGCGCAGCTCTCCGAGAAAGGTTTCTTGATTGGTGGCACCCCTTCAATTGCTTCTAGCGTCACTTCGCGCAGCAACAAGCTGTCGGATTTGTCTGAACGTGCCCGTTAATGTTGCCGGCAGAGTAGGCTGCACATTGCGCCGCCTTTGGCTAGCGCCGCCGTGAGACCAAACTGTCGTCATTTGCTTTGAACCAGAGTCCACAGTGCCGGCACGATTCTACTGATGCGAAAATACCGGTGATTTGTGGACGTCACTGCAGCGAGCCAACGGGAGTCAAGTGCCGGAAACGCCGATGGTTCCTTAGTTAATTGGCACGAAACTCATTCATTCGCTGCTGAGTACTAAACTTGGGCGTACCGCCAGTTGATAGCCAATGTGTAAGCAGCTCGTCTATCGTGGTACCACGGCATTTGTTAAATGGACCAATTTTACCAGGCACGGAACGCAGGTGCCCAGAAGGCCCGGCTAGTGTTGTGACGACAGTTTCTCACTGCTTTCATGTCGTGGTTAATTTTTTGACGACAACCTGTCATGGTAGTTCAGTAGCTGAAGTCCCAAGACTCCTAAATTCAGAGATGTCAACTCAATTCCTGGTTTGAGGCAGAGTGCAAAGACACCCTGTACATTGCTTTAGATGGACATTAAAGAACCCAATTCTAGTCCTCCAATACGGCATACTTCGTAATGGTGTCAAGGTTCTGGCTTGTAAAGCAGCAGAAGTTCTAGTCGACATAGTGGGGATGGCTGCAAAATTTGTTCGTTCTGTGTTTTAGCAATAGCTTATGGCAGCACACATAAAAGACAAGGGGGACACAGAAACATAACAATTGACAAAAAACTTTGGCAGGGAGGCAGTTTATGGTAGATAGTCCGCCAACCATTGTCTTCTAGCGTACCACTCTTTTGATTCTAATCGCTCAATAAAATTGACATTTCGGACCAAGCGAGCTGTCAATGCAACAACCAGGGATGCCCTAAAACAGAATTTAGTCAGATCTACGTTGCCAAGTGTAGTCTTGATCACAGCCAGACCACAGCTATCTCATTCGCAATGGTACCAGCAAAATGTCAAACTGTTTTGGCACTTGGAAATGGTACGTCTGTTTATTTGTCCTGCAGTCTTCAGAATCCTGTTTACTGATGGGTATCAATTTCTAAGTTACAGCGATCTAATGTTCAAGAAATTGACGGCATTAGGCTGCATATTGAGTTATAGCATGGCGGATGACCTGACGTGCCAAGCCAAGTTTTGGAATGTAATTCTCGCTAAATTCACCCCCTCTGACACAATAACTGTCTGTGTGTTACAGCATACGTCTATAAAACTACACTGACACTAATTCATAGACAGACAGATATAGTGCAGAGTTTTCCAAGTGTTTCCTGTAGTTTCAATGTTAAACACCTGTATTTTTAAGCGAGAGTAAATGAAACGCAAGTCAGATGCCATTGTATTAGGCATCACAGATGGCTGCATCTGTGATCGACCTTTTTTTTTCTAGAGAATACATTAGCGAGAGCATGGTTGCCTGATTTTTACAATTTGCATACCGTAGCTAGAGCACGCACTATTTGTGATTGAGCAGCGGTATCCAGGCCTACCTTATTCACTCGCATACTAAACACGCTGGTTAGCACTGGATAGTCATAGTTAATGAGGGTGATAAGTTAGTGATAGCTAGCAGTAAAGACACTGTGTTAAAGGCTACTTTATTCGCAAAATATACAGGCCTATGTGACCACCTTTAACTTTTGTGTAGTGCCACCGCTGCATACACGCCAGCCGATTGACAATCCTCCTTTTTTTTTCTCTCTCTTTCTCTTCTCTTTCCTCTCTCTCTCATCTTTATGCCCCCTTCCTATTCCCCCAGCATAGGGTAGCAAAGCGGGCATGTGCCTAGTTAACCTCCCTGCCTTCCATCTTGTTGTTTACCCCCCCCCCCCCCCCTATATTGGTAATCTACCTTCTGCACTTTTCCTTGCTTCTCTGTCGCCCATCCAAACCACTGGGTGGCAAATGGTGTGCGCATCATTAGCATGACACAGCATTCTTGATGGCATAGTAGCGAGTGCAGAGTTTTACATAATTGAAATGCTAGTGAGCCAGATGATTGTAAATGCTCTGTGATAAATAAGTGTCTCAAACAGTGCCACTGTTTTTGACCATATCATGGTGACTTACGACGACTGCTGACGGGCTAAATCCTGGATGATGTTGATTAGTGTTGACTAAATTGCAGTGATTGTTGGTTGTTAATGTATAATATTATTTAATGTAGGCCATATGCTGCCATAACTAGAATGTTCTATTTTAAATTAATTATGATCTTGTATACACACAAGCAACAATTTTTGTTGGACCTGTTTGAGTTTATTTCTTTCTTTTCAGGAGTTTATGCTTTGCCGGAGTGAGGAGAGAGACCCACGCAAGTGCCTTGCCGAGGGACGAGAAGTGACCAAGTGCGCCCTGGACTTCTTCCGCAAGGCCAAGAAGGCCTGCCGAAAGCAATTTGACGAGTACGCCACCTGCCTTGAGTGGAGCAGCTCTGAAATGGATTATTACTAGTGAGTACCTTGATCGAAATCTACTTACAGGCCAGGCAGAGCACTGTAACAGCTTGTTGTACTCTTCCTGGCAGTGCATTGGCCATTCTTTGTCCACTGTGGGAAGAAAGCCTTTCTAGTTTGGCCTCTATACTTCCTTTGTCTTGATACCCCTGCTTTCATTCAGTTCCTGTGCATCTTCTAAGCTCACCATCACACCTAACTCCCCGCTGGCTTTAACTGCATTTCTTGTCCCTTAGTACCTGTGGAGTAGCCAGAGAGAAGCACATCAAGCCCATGCCCCCCCCCCCTCACTGAAAACTTTTTTGTTGTGGCATACAAAGTGAAAAATTACTGTTTCAAGGAAGTGCCCCCACTATCTCTCAAAATCAAGGAGGTGCCCTCCCCCCGGAAAAAAAAAATTGTGTCTATGCCCCTTCTCAGTATTCATCCAATCGTTCGCACTCACCATCAATTGTCTGCGCTGCTCGTCAGGTAACTTGCTCATGTCCAATTTTTTTTCTTGCAATGCAGGCAAAACACACACTTGCGCGCTGAAAGACAGTTGCAGGCGAAAGAACACCCACTGGTCAAAACGATACGAAGTCCGTTACTACGGCATAACTCATGGTCATGTCCACGTTTTCACATGTGGAGACTTTCTTTTTTCATGTGTTCAAAGTCACAAGTGCGCCACACAACGTCAAATTTAGCAATACATCTCCAGTTCCTCCCTAGTACGATCTCTAGCCCAGTTTCACATTTATTTTGCATTAGCAAGGAGAGCAGAAAAGCATGAAATAGAGGATTGTTTTGGTTCAGAAAGGACACTTCTGTTAGATGATAACCAGAACGAATGTGTTCAACAGAACACTTTTGAACAAACATTTTCAATAGAAAACACCCAAAGTGTTCAAAACAGGACACTTTTGATGGATGAATATCTGGAATACCATTGTAAAAACAAATATTAACACAAAACACAAGAAATTCAACATTTGACTTGGTAGAAAGACCTGTAGCTGCATAAGAGCATTTGGGGAAAAAAAGATGTGCCCACTGTTGCAGTGGCTCTAAAAGGGTAGTAAGACTGTGCGTTTGACCACTGTCCCATATGCATTCAAAAGTGCCAGGAGCTCTGCTTGTTTTTTTGACGAATAATTCTATGCCTTTTAACACCCCCTTGCACAACTGAGCTAAACCATCCCAACTGCTTTGCCTTTACTAATAACACCAAGTAATAACACCAACTTTGCCTAAACTAAATATAAATCACTACATGTTCTCTTGAAGTAGTCGTGGACAAAATGAAGAAACTAATTGTTTAATTTATTTCATTAACACTCATTAATCAGCACAGCAGCAGGTCATGTCAGTACCGTGTGATTGACCGACGTCACACAGATACGAGAAGGTGGTGCTTACCATCCACTGTGTCATGCAGGGCACTGGACCTCATGAGTTCCAACCAGTTTTAATGGTAGGTTTATAACACATTGACTTCAGGATAGGTAAAAATTCAGGGACCAATCATTTTTGAATGCGCCACGAGATACAAGCTAAAGCACAATTCCCCGCACATGCAGCACAGTCATGGTGTGGCACGAAAGGACGGGGGCTATTGTTCAAGAAGGCACATCCTGCTGCGTACCACGCGATAGATCTGTTGATGGCTTAAGCAGACCGTCTCATTTTGAAAAGAAATGCTTCAGTAATTTATTATTATTTTGTACTCTGGAAGAGCACGGGTCGATAATGGCTAGTGATTTAGCTTCATTTTTTGCTTTGTATTTCATGTTGTTTACTTACCGTACTTTCTTCTTTGGTGTTGCTTATATATGCCCATTTAAAAAAAAAAAACTAAGTCAGTTGTAATGCGGAACCTTGTTTGTCCTTCTTTTCATCTGCATCTTAGTAGTTGCACTGTAGTTCATCATGCACTATCAACTCATCAAAATTTTTGCATTGCTATGCTTTCATCAGCTCTCTCGTGCCTTCAATTTAGCTGTTACTGAGAATCTTAATTCATATGAAGCATGGCACATGTAAGCTAGCTTGGTAACATACAAGAAGAATAGCATTTTCACTTTCTTTCATTAATGTTAGTGTACTTCATTAATTGATCCCTGATTAGGTGTTCTTTTGCATAATAAAAGGCCTGCTGCAGCTCATGACAATTCCTGAGCACAGTGCGTGCAGAGTTAGGCATGCTTCTGCTGGAATCACAAGCAACGTAGAGGCACAAATGTGCCAACTTGCTGAGAGTCAGAAAAGTAATGTATTCTGTACATGGTAGCCACCTCTATGTTACGTTGCATATGGCACACATTAGGCACTGCCTACCTGAGGTTTTTCACGCTCCCGTTGCTTTGATTATGGATTCACATGCACAGCACTTATTTCCACAGGTACTCTGACATAAATCAAGACCAATCAAAGGAAGCCAGAACTTGGGAAGAGGCTTGAGCGCCACCCTATTTCTTTATTTATTCCATACTGTGGGCCTTTTCAGGCTTATGCAGGAGGGGGCATACGAAGCATATGCGACTTCATATTGCTGAATAGAATAGTCCAGGCCGGGAATATCTTGGTTAGTCTGAGTCCAAGTGAGTCTGGCTGAAGAAAAATTTCGCGAGTGTGAGTTTGAGTGAGTTCGGCCCAGCATTTTTTCGGTGAGTCTGAGTCCGCATGAGTCCAAAGCGCAAGATATATATTTCGTGAGTGTGTCTGAGTGAGTTCCATTTTCTTTTGCTGACTTATGGTTCGTTCTATATATTCTTCAGCATTACTATCAGTCTTACCTGGACTTACGACTACCTTACTTCCACACATTTCAAAGCAGTGTCCTTCATACACCATTTCAATATTCAGTCATCAGAAGCGTGAATTAGGTTGAGGGGTGTCTTGATCCCCCCCCCACCAAGTCTTCGAGGAAGTTCTTGATAAGTATATCTTATGCTGCCAGCTCTTCCAAGAAAAATAACCTTGCTCATAACTCACTCGTATTCGAAGGTACTATATCAATCAGCGCCAAGAAGAGTACCGATTATATGAGGTATTGGCGTTGAAGAGCATAAACACCAGGTTTGAAAACGTTAGTTCAAGACTTAACGGAATCACTCACACCAAACCAAGCCGTGAGTTTGAGTTTGGGTGAGTAATGCTTTGGTGATTTGACTCTGAGTGAGCACGTCTCAGCAAAATTTTGGTGAGTGCGAGCCAGAGTGAGTCTAAAGCACAAAATATGTTTAACGAGCGAGTCTGAGTGAGCTCTACAAGTTTTGCCGACCTTTGATATGGGCAGTACGATTGTACACACTTCTGAGAACTCATCAAATCACAACTGTATCGTTTTAATAATGTCCTTTGCATTCGCTTAATACATAGAGGTCCTCAAAAGCAACGTGTTTTGCTGTTGAGCACACGAGATGTATGCATAGCACATGCAGTTGTCTTGTCGCTCATAGCACCAGTCGTCACGGTCAGTCTTGTCAGGGCTGAAGGCTGTCGGTGAAGCAGTTCTTCCAAAGGCAGTCAGTCTGCCAGCCGAGCACGCCAGCTGGCCGACCGTACCTTGGTGCTTGCTGTTCCATTGCGACTCTAAGACCAGGTTACGACAGCTGGTGAGGAGTGGACTAGTAAGCGGCCTGAGCACATCAAGGACACATCCAGGACACAGGGGCGAGTGTCACAACAGATTGATAGCTGCTGCAGTATTCTAGATCCTCTTTTATGTGCTTTTTTTGTGTGGCAGTTTAAATAATTTCTTCCATCATGAGAGCTTGGGAGTAATGGCAATATTTAGCATGTGGCTTTGGTGAACTATCATGGGAAATGCAGTGACAAGCAGCCAGGTGACAATTTGCAGGAGACTTTAGACAATTAGCTCTTTATAGTTTTAACAGCCTCCTTGTGCTCTTTAAAGACGATTTTAACCGATGTTGTGCTTAATTACAACCATGACTTTCTTGGCATAAAAGTATAAATACTAACTTTGCAAAGGAAAGTAAAAGCAAAATATATATAATTTTAGCAAAGACTTGCATTTCTCGAGTAGCATCTCCTCTTGATGGTAACTAGACGGCCAGGGAATCGTGTGGTCGCGGGATCGAATCCCGGCTGCGGCGACTGCATTTTCGATGGAGGCGAAAATGCTGTTGGTTTGTGTGCTCAGATTTGGGTGCTCGTCAAAGAACCCCAGGTGGTCGTAATTTCCGGAGCCCTGCTCTACGGCATCTCTCATAATCATATGGTGGTTTTGGGACGTTACACCCTACATATCAATCAAGGGAATTGTGTGGGCACACCAAGAGTTGCAGGTGTGGGTGCCACGACAGCCCGACAACTGCCGGGGTCTCCCATTACCTCTTCTGCTGTTTTCTCTCATAGGCCAAACATCACTTTTTTTCCGCCTTGTGCTCCCCACACGGGGTGTTTCTGTGCATCATCGCAGCCATTTTGTTGTTTTCATAGTCCCCAGGCAAAAATTACCCTCCCTTATGACCCTCTCATACTACACAGGTGAGGTGCTTCTGAGAGATAACTCCTTGGCCCAAACCCTCAGTAGCCAAAAACACTCTCCAAGCTTTGTTGATTCAGGTTGGATGCCAGAATAGAGCAGTGTGACGCTTTGACTGTCTGATTAGAGTTTCACCTAGCAACAGCAACAGCAGAATGCTGTTGTTCACTAGAGAAAGCTTTTGAAGACATTGCACAGCCTAAACAGTGCCAGAATCATGCGGGGACAAGTGTAGAAAAGATACATTGAAGCTTCCTATCAGAGAGATACCCACATCTTACCTGTGGCGACCTCTCCAATAACAAGGGCATTGGTAATATTCTGGGAGCCCACCCTGCGTTATAATTATCGCAATATTATCAGGCAGTGCGAATCAATTATTATAATTGATTCACAATATTATCAGGTGGTGTCATGATTCTACACTTGAGTTCAGCTCACTGTTCATGGTGCTGCATTGATAAAAAGCAGTCAGCAACACAAAAATGCATGCAGTGGGGGCTAGTTGCGTAAGTATTGTCTTGGATAGGCATGTGCGAATATTCGACTGCTTGAAATATTCAACCGAATAATGCAGTATTCGAATTCACTTCGAATCAAATTCAATTTAGTCAAAATTTCGAATTATTCGAGGCGTACGAGTAGGTGTATATTAGCCCATGTGTAACACCATATTATTTAGAAAGAAGGGCTAAAAGAAAAAATTCGCTTAAAGAGTTTCATGAACTGCACAATAAGGAGTTTCGCAAGATTCTAAAGCACGTTCCAACCAGATTGCTTTCGCTGGCAAAAATGTCTGAAAAGGCTCCTATATCAGTGGGCACCGCTCTTGAGTTTTTTCCTTCAAGAAGTGAAAATAGATGCCACTACAGGCTCCCAATTTCTAATCTACTACGACATTCCCAAAATGCCAGCACAAACTGAAGACACTGAGCAGCACCAGTTCAGACAGAAGAGAAAGAAGTCTGTTGAATCAACACCTGTGCCCGTGAAAAAGGTTAAGGCTACTGTACTGATGTGTGCAAGACTGGATCAACTTGTATAACACGCGAGGAACGACTGTTCGTGTTTTTGAGCTCGGAGCTTAGAAAAGCTTGCTGTCTGTTTTTAAATAACATTATTCCTGCTTTTGAGACAGTCAACTGCCGCCTGCAAGCACAGGCACCCCTAATACACAAGCTACAGCATATACTTCTAAACCTTCTTGAGGACATCCTTTCAAGGTTTGCTAGGCCAGCACTGCTGAAGCAGCACAATGACATCTGTTTGATAGACTACCACAGCAGAAATGTGCAAAAGGATGACCAAGGCTTGCTAATTGGACACCAAGCTAATTGTGTTGTTAAAAAGCTCAAGCCAAGTGACAAAAAGGAATTTTTTGAGGCTGTTAGAAGGTACATGGTTGCTGCATGCGACTACATGCGCCTCAAATTTCCGTTTAGAAATGAGGCTTTGATCAATGCATGTGTTGCGGATATTGACGCTATGGATAACATGTCATTTAAGAATGTCCTTTTCTTTGTTGAGCGGTTTCCAGCGTTATTGCCACAAAACGAGCAAGAGACCAGAGATCAAGCTATTAATGCACTGGAAATGGAATTTGTGAAGATGCAGTCTTTCGAAATTCCTACAAATATACTGGATGAGGAACAAGCCTATGTGCAGTGGAGAAAAATCTCGCTGCTGAAAGGCGAAGATGGACTTATGAAATTCAGTCGCATTGCTCAAGCGGTGCTGGGAATCCTTTCAGTACCACACAGCAATGCGGAATGCGAGCGGCAGTTCAGCGTTGTGAGGAAGACTCGAACAGAGTTCCGTGCTTCCATGGCAAACAAGACACTTGGGCAACTACTTCAGGCCAAATGCCATAGCCGCGGACCGTGTTATTCACAGGTATATTCTGAGGAGTTCTTCAAGACGGCCAAATCTGTCACAACAAAAATTGGGCAGTAATGTAACTGCGAGTGACACAGCTTGGACTGTTCTTTAAGTGAAAGCTTGGACTAGCATGGTGCTAAGGTTGGACTCCTTGTGCAGTTTTGCCGTGCAAAAAAAACATTCTTTTGGCAAAGTGTTGGAAAGGCAGCGGTGAACATTGTTATGCCTGACAGTGCTCGAAGGACTTCTCGAAAAAGGTGGCTTCAGCCACGTCGAAGATTTGGTGGTGGTGACCACAGCGGGGTAGGTTGTTGGCGGTTTACAAAAACTATACCATTATTGTGCCATGATAACTCCATAAAAATTCAATCTTGAGAAAAAGCGTGTGAAAAATTCCATCCCCCGTGCCCCCGCCCCCCAGTTGCATCTTCCTAATGCCTGCGCTGCCAACCTGGCAGGTATGCAACTGCCATCTGTCAGTTTTCTGCCTCTGCATAGGCATCTTAATGTGCACAAATTCTTGCTTGTGATTTGTATGAGTGTAGTGGCCGGTGGTTATCAGTCATCGACTCCACTAACATTACCTCTGACCGAGGGGCAAAATGAAAGACTAACTTCGCAGTTGTACGCAAATCTCGGTGCTGTACACTAGATTAAAGACAGCAAAGCTGTATAGCAGAGTTCTCGCAAGCAGTTCTGGGGGTTGTGTTCCTTGGCTTTTCAAAACTATGATAAAGCCCTGATAGCCTGGTTATGTGGCTTTCATGTTCAGGTAGCATTGCTGGATACAGCTTTTGCTTCTGCAGCTGTATATGCAAACTTTCAGCTATTTGATTCATTCCATCGACTTTTGATTCCACAGTAGTACAAACTTTTAGCTGAGCCTGTTAAATTGCATGTGTTGGTAACATCGTTTGGTATTCTTCATTTCTTCACCCTGTTATTGTATTCAAATATGTGGAGCTTTTCTTCTGTGCTGTTTAAAGGGGCTGACAACTGGATAGAATTTGTGATTAGATTCAGGTAGAAATGAAATGACCACGAATTATAATGACAGATTCCAGCGTCTTTTTCACTATGTGAATAGGATTTATATTTTGAAACAGTGTCTAAAAATAAGAAGAATTAGTATGTCCCACAACTTTGCGGTCGAGCCTTGAAGCTGGAAATATGGAGTCAATCACTTTTCTGTACGTGGCCACCTAGTCTGATGCAATCACGCGTGCCATGATTAGTTCTGAAAATTAGAGTAAGTATAAACTTAATCCGGCTCTACATTGAGCTGCTTACTAGGTAAAAGGTGTTCCCTGGTGAGAAGTGGCGCTGCCTTCGCGGTAGCTCGTGAAATATGCCGAGCCCCGGCACATGCGTAACGTGTGCACCGTAAACCATTCAGCTCGAACACGAACTGCTCTCGCACTCACTGTTTACAGCATGGGCTGTCTCATGTTTTAGTACTTCATGTTTGGCCCAGATGGAAAAATTCTGGTTACAAATGTTTCACGGCATTTTCTGCATTGCCTTTTCATTGCGCCAAAGAAAATGTGTGCCATAAAAATTGGCTCTCAGTCTTTAACATATGCAGGGTCCTTTTTTTTTTTTAGTAATAGAAACTTTCTTTTTAATGGCATGACAGCCAGGCCTTCATCGTCTTCTCACACAAACTGTATGCCGAGGTGAAGAAAGCTGCCACACCTAAAGTTACGTTAAGATAAGTATGTAACAAAAGCTAGTTAATTAATTTTTATTTTGAGGTAGGGGGCAGCTGTTTGTGTGAAAAAATTGCAGGCTGGACTCTTTATTGGGTACTCATCTTCAAAAACCTTGAAAAATATGTAACTAATATGTAATCAACGATATTCAAGACCCCGATCGCAGCAATATCAAAACTAAGTGTGCTGGGCGCAGAGTAAATGTGACGGCTGTGTTGTGTCAGCCCGGAAGGTCCTGTGACAAACATTGAAAAAAGGGGCATTGCAACAGAATCTGGTTACAAAAAACAGCAAGTCATCCTAAATACTTGATTGCGTCACTTATTTTGTGTACTTTATAGTATTTTTTGTTGTGTTAATCTTGGTACATGCCTTTGCAATATGCTGACTCTTAATTTCGATGTTCGTTCGCAGCTGCCGGAAAACGCAGGCAGCATTGGATTCCTGCATGCTCGACAAACTGGGCATTGAACGGCCGCACCTTGGGTATTTCTCGATGCCTCGCATTCACCACACGGAGCGGCCGAGACCGGAAAAGGGCTATCGCGACGACTACCCCCAGACACCGAAAGTGGAAGATGACTTTCCAAGGACCCCTGCGAGGTTCGGGACTCGTTCCATCATAACGTAATTGTTGGAACCACCTTGTGGTACACCTGCAATAGATTGTTCGGCGGTATCACTTGGAGATAGCTGTAGAAGGTATAGATATAAATTTCATTAAGATCCCGGGAGTGTGTTTGCTTCTTTCGTGCTTTTTTCTGCAGATGCACTTGCGAGTACATTTTCTGCAGCTTTGGTGAGTTGCAGCCAACTTTAAATAGGATAGACATAGAGGCTTCTGGGTGTCTTCTTGATCAATTCACACCGATGGAACAGTTGCACCATTGTGCGCCAAACCTGTTTACCTGCGCCATCCTGTGCTGAACCACCTTTTCTGCGCCACACTCGTTTCTCAGCGCCGTACTGAGCCGTAGCGTTCGAATTTAGCCACAAGTTGTGATGGCCATAAAGCCCCGTGCCCAAAAACAAGGCTGATACATTGTGTTTTCAGTTTCATTGAAATCATTTAGTTTTTGTTTCGTTACGGCAGTGAGAACTGGCGCGTGCGCCAACTTAGCTGCCATCAGCTTATATGCCTCGTAACCCCTTCTAATTGCTGTGCTCTCAACGTGAATAGACAGTGCGAAAAGAGCATCTCTCCAGTAGAATGGAAAGTTGGGCTAGTTGTAATTCTGGCATGGTTGACGCAGCACTGAAGACTCAAAAGTACACAGGACACAAAATACACAGCCACGCAAAGTACACAGGACAGGCACTCTGTTGCAACAGAAAAAGTTATTTAAAAAACTATTGCTGTTGTGAAACAGTGTCCATCCTGTGCACTCTTGTATTCCTTTTGTCTTCAGTCTCTAAAGCTGCGTCTGTGATGAAGACCATTTCTCCGTGGCACAGCAGTATTCTCTTACACCAGCGTTTCGTGGAGTTACATCTTGTCGGATCCAAGCGAGTTGGCTGCCAGAATTACTTTGTGTAACATTACTGTGATTGTTTTATAACTTGATAGCAGCGTTCATGTAAGCAAAAAGGGTGATGTTAACAGTGCTCAAAAAAAAAAAAAGGATGGTGTCTGGTTTTTAGAAGAACAGCCTAGCATAGAGGCAGCACATGCTGTTCATCAAGCACATGTGCATATTCTCATGAGTTTCGCCGCTACGCTATTATCGACTCAGCGATTCATGCTCGCCCGTTCAGGGTACACAGAAAAAAAGGGCGGCTGTACATAGCTAAGAAATCATAGTTGCTACACAAGGAGTAAGAAATGAATACAGTAGCACCAAAAATTGCATGTTTTACAAAGTGAGGCTGCCAACTAATCCTTTCAGATCATATTTCGCGTAACTCTATAAAATGTTGTAAAAGGACATGGCCGTGCCAGGGAGAGCTACATTTTTCGTGCAGTCTTTCCACGATGAGAGCCTTGTGGGCCGAAGTATATGCGAGCCGCCTGCTTATAACTGTTGAGCTAGCATGTTCGCCAGTGCTTTTAGAAGGAAAGTTCACAGTTGCTGCTCAGCGACACCCCCTCCCACACTCCCCTCCCTGATGTATTTTCGTGCTCGTTTAAGACGGCTGGGGGCTACCTCTCTGCTTCGACGGCAAGTATTCCAAGCAACGTAAAGGAGTCAGCTCATTATATCTGTAGTTTCAGCTGCGTTTACCCACAGGTAGAGCATACAATGCAGTGAGACGTGTTAATGATTTAAATTTTATACGTGACATGACATAGTCGTCATCATTTCAACTATAGCCGATCATGATGGCGGCTATAGCATAGTTGCCGTCATCGAATATGGCCTGGCACCATCATCAAATGATGGCGACAAGTCATAGTCGCCATCATTCGTCAAAATAGGAAAGAATCACTGCACCATAATTTGTCTTGTGAACTAGCAAGCTATCTATTACACATCTGTAAGCCATATCAGCTGCCACTTCAGTTCAAACCTGAGCAGTGCTGGGATATAGCGTGCAACTGCAGTGATTACAAGACGTAGGCTTGCCGGTGGTACGCTAGCGTGGCATTCATAAAATTGGCTAATACTTCTGGTGCCTCCCTGTTGCATAGTTTATTACAACGTTGTGCGAGAGAGAGATGAAGTGATATAGTGTTGTTTCTTAAGGCAACTCTTAAATTCTATAATGTGTGCAATGCAGTCTAACTACATGGCTCACACATTCAGAGGAACATTGAGTAAGTACACTTTGGCAGTGTTTTCTATGTCAAAAAAATGTTGCAGGACCCTTCTAACGAGTATGTCTGAAACAACTGGTGCAATACTGCAACCAGGGTAGTTTTCCAAAATCATTGGGTTTATGTGAAGTCCACTGGATACATATGCCACGCCTGCACACAGCACTCGCATTTGGCGCACTACCTTTATCTTCGATGGGAGCTCACTCTGTGAACACTCTTCATTACCACTCCGCAACATGAACACCTCGGAAGCCATGGCAGCAGCAGCAGCTCGGGCTCACCGCCAGGATCTTGTGGTGAAAGCCCGGGAGACGGAAGCGAAGAGGGCAGACCGTCAAGCAAACCTCACCGGAGCTGTGAGCCAGCGAAGCAGAAGCGCAGTGGGTGCGCCGTCACGCAAACCTGACACGTGTTTATATGATGGTACAGGAATGTGTATGGAGAATTCGCGGGTTACACGATCACCTTCAGGCAAACTTCTCTTACATCAGTTACTTTGTGAATATGACGGTGTTTGTTTTTCTCCTAAGTCGATGTATTAACCTCCCATGTCGTTCTCCGAAAGCTTTCTGCAACTATCATGGTCTTGCAATGCCTCATGCATCGTTGACATTGCAAGCTTTCTGCACCTCACCTTGCTTTGCATGGCCTCCGGGATCGGCCCACCTTTGACGAAGTGGCGATGTCTTGTTATGGCGTCACTGTATGACGTGACATTATATGACATCATAACGACATCACAAATTTTGGCGATCTATGACGTCATCGGTGGTGGCATCATCGGGTGAATATTTTTTGCATCACTCATGTTGATGCCGATGACATGGAACAGCTGTAAGTTTTCACGTTTGATGAGACATTTAAAGCTTTTGCTTTAAAAACTCCATTTTTGCCCATTCCTTTTACACAGCTCACGCAGGATATTTTGAGCCCATCACCTCCGTTGTTAGCCGCCTTCACACAGTGGACAACACCGAGTCTTTAGGAACCAAGCTCCTTAGGCTCTCACGATGTCCGTTGATGCTGTTTTTGCAGCTTCCCATTGGACCGAAAAACTGGTGTTAAACATACTGCACATAAAGCATTCTCAGTGCGCATATTGGTTAAACATAGACCAACCGTCCGTTTGTCTGGGCATCTGCTCATGCGTATGTGCACCCGTCCGTTCGTGCATCCGTTCGTCTGTCTGTCCTTTACACTGGTCAGCGTCTTCAACGTAGACATTATGGACGTTAAGGCCTAGCTTCACTTCATTAGCATTAACTTCATGGGACTGCTGTAATTTTTCGTTGACACAATTATACGAACCCTAGTAAAACAAAGTACTCACAATGTATACTGAAATACAAAAATATGCGTACCGTTAAGGAAGAAAAATTAAGGACACAATAGAAAGGGCGTCCTGGACGCCCTTTTTGTTCTGTCCTTAATTTTTCTTCCTTTATGGTATGTGTTTTTTTTTTTATTTCAGTAAGCGTATACCAATTAGCCCAACAAAAAGTTTTATTACGCGCAATGTGCAGTTCTCGTTATATATACATTGATTATAAATGTGGGATAAAGGAAAATAAAGGTGGGTGAAGTGGAACACCTTGCCACCATAGAAGGACGAAGCTGCAGCATTCGCATTTCGTGGACCTTGATATGGATAAGTTCAGCACCAGCAATAAACTCATGGTGGCGCAAAAACAAGTTGATCCGTATCGTTCACGCATTCCGCTCGCTTCCTGTGTTGTTCAGGATGCCCCCCATAACCTTGTGTCTGTTTTTAGGACTTACTTTCCCCAAGGAGTTTTTAAAAAAATTGCTGGAGTGGGAATTTGTGCCCACGAGTGAAGCAGTACCAACCACAAAATGGCAGCTGGGGCAGTCATCTTACTAGTGGCATAATTAGCTGTTAGCGTTCAGCGATTGGGAAAAGAGCGTTTTCCTCCCATGCCCGGCGAGTTTAACGTGGCAATCTTTTCGGCTCGGGTATATCTCAAAGTACGTCCTTGTGGTAATGGTTTTCTTTAGTAAGCCTCGAATTCAAGGAAAATTTTATTGAAGATGAAGTCACCAATACTAGTCTCTGCGAATTATTTCTTTGGAAACAACTATCAATTAATTTATATTTAACGTAGCCTTAATCAAAGCTGCTTGATGTCTAAGTGGGCACCACCAGAAAATAGCATGTTTCTGAGATCTTTTAAGGGCAAAACCTGGCTTCACTACTGCTAGCAAAGCATTGTGGGAGCTTCCGCTGGAGAAATATTTTTTTAAACCTCCTTGGCTCTTCTATAGTGGAGTACATTGTACTCTAAATCGTTAAACACTTTTTCTTAACACGATTATCGTGCTCTCTTGTAGCAGGGTAGATTGTCCTGTAAATTACATAACAATTGTTTTAAGCACAGCTTTTCACTTTACCGGAGTGTCTCCTAACAGCTCTCCCACTGTCACTGTGCCCACAGTAGAGTACGATTATAGTACTCTGAATAGTTCATAGTTATGAACATGGTAGTATCATATGAACCAGCCTGAGAGGGTGAGATGCCTGATCACCGTAAGTTTCAAGAATAATTGCAGGGTTTTTTGTCAACTGATCTGTGTTTGTATGCGAGTAAACTTAGTCTGCCTTTTTTTTTTTTTTTCCATCAGAGATCAGTCATCTATTATAGTGTCTGAGTGCCGTAAGCTACATCATGTCTGTGCCCTCGTGTTAATTGTACATGTCATTAGAGTAATATTTGTTAACCGATGCAGTTGTACTCCCTTGAGCTTCTGTTACTAGTATGCAATAAGCTTCCCTGTGTATGTATGTTGCGATCCGATGCATGTCGTCGCTGGTTACCACTCCTCGCCAAAGAGAATAGAAATCTTGTGTAGTCTTCAAGCATCAGAGAATACCTTGTTGCGCACCTGACCAAAACAACTTGTGCTATCAGGGCAAAAACCTCACATGTCTCATGAAATGCGAAAATTGACTGTCGGCGCCCACCCGAGTGATGCAAAAAGTTATAACGTGATGGTGTAATCCTGTGGTGTCATCATGATGATGCATGATGACGTCATGGCATGAAGTCGTTGTAGATCAAAGATGGGTCCATCCCGAACGCACTACAACATCCTTAAGTAGGGTAGGCAGGCAGAAATGTCAACCCCCTGAGAACGTGCCCCCGTGAATATGCCCACTTTCATTTTTTTTTTTTTCGAAGGGTGGGCCTCCTCTTCATTTGAAGTGGGGGCTAGGTAGGCGGATTTGGTCGAACGTCATTTGGGCCCTGTCATCATCATTATCATCATCAGCCTGACTACGTGCACTGCAGGACAAAGGCCTCTCCCATGTTCCGCCAGTTAACCCAGTCCTGTGCTTGCTGCTGCCAATTTACACCCGCAAGCTTCTTGATCTCATCTGCCCACCTAACCTTCTGTCTCCCCCTAACGCGCTTGCCTTCTCTGGGAACCCAGTTAGTTACCCTTAGTGACCAGTGGTTATCCTGTCTACGCGCTACTTGCCCGGCCCATGTCCATTTCTTCTTCTTGATTTCAACTTTGATATCCTTAACCACCGTTTGTTCCCTAATCCACTCTGCTCTCTTCTCGTCTCTTAAGGTTAAACCTACCATTTTTCTTTCCATTGCTCGCTGCGTCGTCCTCAACTTAAGCTGAACCCTCTTTGTATGTCTCCCGGTTTGCAACCTAGTGGAGCTAGGTTGCAAATTTGTTCAATTGTAAAACGACCACAATTGTAACATAAGGGGTGGCATTTGATTACATCTAGGAAGAAAGAAAAATAGAATTTCGGTACTCGGTATGAGAGGGTCGACATTAGTAGCAAAAATCTGAAAGAAAAAAACCTCGTGTCTCATTCAAGTAAATACGGTATTATATCTGACTGTCATGTGCACAGCTCCAGACAGGTAACAAAGTGATGACTCCAAGAATAACGGGGATGATCTACCCATGTTAGACTACTCATTACAGACTGTATGTCAACAATGGAACCATCACGAAGTCATTACCATCAGGTTCTTCAAAGGCATTTTTTGAAGTATCAGGCTTAGACGACGACCGACCGCAAGCTTGCAAACGTTCTGCTGACGACGGGGAGTCGACTTCGTGAAAGCACAACCGCCGCGACATGTTGGCGTTTCTGCTGACACCACTAATCTCTGCTTTACACTGGCCTTTCATGTGAAGGTTGCCTTAGATATTTATTTTACGATTCGCCGTCAGCTTCGAAAACTTATTTTAAAGGCAGCGATACGAGCATTTTGTGGGTTCACGCTAGCCGTTTAACACACTGTAGAAACAGCTTTTGTAATATATAGTGCAAGAACTGCAACTACCAACTATATAAATAATATGTTCTAGCTCAGAACAGCTGTCACTGGGCTGAATGCTACCTCCATGCAGTTTAGTTCAAAGCGGGCGCATTATGTGCAATCTGCATGCTACGTCGAGCTTCACAAGTGCTATCTGAACCCACTTATGTGTAACTTTACGCCGTACAATGCTTGGCACTACGTCGAAAGGTCACACTGTTTCTTCCGCGTCATCAATGTACTTCATATCAAACAGCGTCCGCCCTTTCGACAAAAAGTCTCGCAAAGGTATCCGACCGCACACACCACATCGCTGAAACTGTAGAGGTGAATAATCGCTGCCATCGCATCTAGCTCGCTGGGCCGCAGTTGTCAGCGAAGTGTCCAAATCTTCGCTGGTCTTGCACATTCCAAAGTACCTACAACACGACGCACATCGGGGAAAGCAGAAAGTAGTGTCCCATGACGTTCATCATGCGTTTCAGCACGCGGGGGGTTGTGCACCTCGTAGTGGCTCTGTCCTACTAGCTGGTTCTCTGCCAGCTCGACAGGGCGGCACATCGGGTAAATTATAGGTGCGCCACCTGGGCAGCGCTGGCTTCTCATAGACGCCAGTGCCCGTACGTGCGAGAAGCTTATATTGCCTGCAACTGCAGAAGCAGCGCAAAGCCTTGTTAAGTGAATAGAGCTTTGGAGAAAAAGGTTGGGAACAATGCAGTTCACTGAGAAGAAAAAAAAAGAATATGGATTTGACCTTCGAGACGCTGTAGGCGAATTCATAAGGGACCGCGCGTGTTTTTCCGCGCATAATATGCGCTCAATTTGGAACAAGGTTGACAGTTCGAGCGCAAAGCACCATCAGGACATCCGCAGTGCTCGAGTGCGACAGTGGTCGAGTGGTGGCACAGCTAAGGGAGTAACAAAGCCCACTCTTCGCTCTAACGGCAGTGTCTCTTTTTTTTTAAAGTGTAGTTGAGCAACAAAGATATTGAAAATATGACAGTCTTTATTCCAGTTTATTTTAGCCAATACAGCACACACAATTCAAGAAGCTCTTAATATGACAGTCTAGAAATGACTACAAAGCATTTTCTTTCACTGGAACTTTGTACAAATACAAGTAATTGTCTAAATGACTGGTTACATATTGGCTCAAGAATCTGTCATTCATCATAAAAAAACTAGTGACTGAAAGTTGCAGTAAACCGAACAAATTTTCTGTCATGCACTACCGCATCAAACGGCGTATGGATTTTATTGTGAACAATGAGAGCATTGCATACGGCATCTGCTTCTCATGGCGTTTTTGCTAACGTTCGTTTGTGCTACAATTTCGACATTCTCATGCGTGCACTTCAAACTCTCTGTATATTACGCTTGCATATACTTTCTAAGGAAGCAGCATGTTTGCAGAAGGATTTCTAGGAATACGTTCTGAAGGCGAGACATGACAGCGCATAGTATGCTACACACAGATCTGCTTCTGATACTGATTTACCGGGTGACCTTAGTGCTGAATCCCCTTGATATTTCTGCACTGCTCCACAAGAATGCAGGTATATTTCAGCGAGAAGTTGGATTGTGGAACAGAATTTGTGTGCACAGAAGTGCGCGTAGGAACTTATGAAAAAAAACTAAGCTTATGCGAATACTCGATCGAGTAATACGATATTCGAATTTGCTTCAATTCGAATTTAATTTACTGAAGATTTCAAAGAATCAAAATGAGTAAATAGGTGTGTATGAATCTGAATGTAACCTCCTGTAGAGATAGTTTGGTGGAAGTATAGAAGTATTAAGCTGTGAAAACACCTAACTAGAGGGCATGTGCACTGCCACAAAACCTCACTTCAAGTTTAAATGAACTTATCACCCTCACACCGATTAATCATTTTTTTAAGTTTAAAAGCTTGTTACCCTGGTTTATATGTCTGACGTATAGTAACTTTTTAAGAGTAACATACTTTACAGGTAATAACTTGCATTTTACCGAAAGTCAAATCCTGCTACTGTTCAAAGTTGTTTCTACTTCTTCTGAACCAATAAAACAAAACAAAAAAGGCACTTGCACGAGCTTTGTTTCAATTTATTAAGATCAATATTGTGCACATTCATTCGGTGATGACAAATATGCCTATGTTTAAAATAATATTTATAAAAAGTGAGATATAATATTTTATTTGATTCAAAATAATTTGACCAAAATCACTATTCGTTTCAAATTCGCTACGAGCCTAAAATTCACTATTCGCACAAGCGTAAAAAAAAAGTTAATGTTAGACGCATATTGCTATATTAGAGATAGTAAAGCCTACTTATAAAATATTACACGTACTTCCTGGGAACAGGTATATTGTTGTGAAGATCGTGTAGCCTTATATGGTAAAATTTTGGCCAGTGCGGGCTCACACTCACGGTTATTCTTTGAAGCAAAGTAACAAATCCCAACTTGCTGAGCTTGAGCTTCTTTTCTTATCGCACGTCCACATTGGGATCGGAGATGTGATTAGGAGGTTCCTAAGTTCACTTGAAAACTGTCAGGGTCTGGCCGTGTAATACCTGCTATGGCCAGACCTGTTATATTGTATACCTGTTATTTCCTTTGAGGCACGAAACATCAAATTAACGCTAGAATGTCCAATAATGCTCAATGCACAATCTTAAAAAAAAAGGCTGCAAACACACTCGCACAGCAAAACGATTTTACCAGGATACTGCTACCGATACGGTTGTCCAAATGCTTTTACACTTTTCTGATACTTCGAGAAGCGCGCTTTAAGTAGGGAAAGGAATAACAGTAGATTGCAAGATACGCCTATATAATTAGGAAGGTCACGTTGCCGTATTTCTTGGTCCATTACCAGCATACCATATGTTTATGAAAAATGCATTGATTATTATGATTTTGCTTGAAAAATTATGACCTAGAAAGATGAAATGGAAGCCGCATATTGTGGGATTCCTAAGAACTGGTTTGCTACGATTCAAAGCATTCTGATGATTAAAAAAATGAAGTGAAAAAAGAATCACGAGGAGGACTAGATGCTTGAACATAATTATGATTTTCGAAACAAGATGCATGCGTTGAAAACCCGTGAAATCATTTGTCATGATTTAACAATTTCTTTTTTTTTTTTTGCAAAATGAAAATGAAGCGTGGACATGAGGACGAGGAGACAAACAATATTCAGATAAGATATGTCATCCGATGCTGTCCCTGCGATAGATGCCGGCATCATCAGACTTCGGGCTGCCATATTTTGACTCAGTGGGAACGGCAGTTGGGCGGCATCCAATGAATGCCGCATCATAACGAGATGTTTTTCCAGCAGAACAGGATGACACCGATGGAGGCGAGCACGGCGGCTGCTGAAAAATCAACCTTGTTGGCGAATGATGGCATGCCCATGTAGTCTTGGACTGCGAAAGCAAACAAAACGAACTAGGTAAGCCAGTTGCAGTTTGAAGTAATCGATTAAACTAAAGCACTCTTAATTTTAGTGACAAGGCAAAATTATATATTATAATATACAGATGAGTTTTGAGTAATCGTTGGGCGTCCTTCAAGATCAAGAGTGACGCCAAAGGAACCATACAAGTTAGAATAAGACGACAATAATGAGCCGGAGGTTGATAACTATTTCGTTCTATGTGGTTGGACGATGTTGCTTCTGTGCCGATGACTTAACACGCTATATAGCTAAGGTTCGAGTGCCAAGGCGGATAAACCTGAGGTTAGGGGGAAGGGAAGCAAAATTATTTTACTAAGTCGCGAGCTAACATACTTCAGGGATTAATAGCGATATGACCACAGTTACAGCAATATGATCTTTCGTAAGCCGTATAAATAACTAATAAAGTCTTTGGCCTGCATCATTACAGACATATACATGCGTAGGTGAATCTTGTTTCCCACAAGCTGTAAATAATTGCTTTATTTTCTACAGTAAATTACTCATTCTCTGGTGGCTAGGCTGTTAAACATTAACTTATTCACATAGATCTTCAAGCTTGCTCTAATACTTTAGGATAATGTTCTTAATTGATCAATAGCATCCTTAAAAGCAAAGGCATCAAAGTGAATAGGCCGTGTGCAGGGATTTCAGAGCAAACGCTGAGGTATTATCTATTGCTTCATATGTTTCATGGGTCAATCCCCCGTGCATCGCTGGGTGCGCATAGTAAAAGACGTTTGTACGACTTAGAAAATGCCCATGTTACACTAAAACACACGCTGTTGAAGCTTGTTCAGTTGCTTCTGTTTTATTAAAAGAATACACACGTGAGATGCAATCAGTGCAATGACAGAATTTTTCTGTAAGTTTCATAATGTTTCATGTTGGAGAGAATACTTGAGGGGCAGTTATGTTCTCATGGACAATTAACCCTTAGTAGCACACTGCCCAAGGCAAGTAATCAGATTTTGCAGTGCATGAAAGCAGGAAATAAAAAGGAACAATTACACAAACTTAAGACAAAAGAAAAACACGAGACAAGACATCTAACAAAACCAATACACTTGTGTCGTCTCATTCCCTGTCCCTGTCATTATGTTTAAAATGTAACTCTGTAAAATGGCCGATATGTTGGCTGCTGCATGAATTTTGTTGCTCGAAAAATGCTGTTCACTCAAGATTTAAATTTTCCTTAATTAAAACATTCTGCTGTAGTGACTGAAACGCATAACTGTGATGGGCGTCATTTAAGCGGGTATTTTCTCGCGTTATTCAACAGAAATTCGCGGTAACGTCTTGCTCCGCGAACACGTATGATGTGCAAGTGAAATCGTGTTATTGTTTTGTACATTGCTCGTAGAACGTTCGTTTACGTTGACCACAGTGGCTTTGGCCAATTGCATGGCAGCGATTTGACAAACAAAGCATTCACGCTTTTCCCAAGCAACGACAAGTTCTAACAGATAAGTGATTTACTCAGGAAAAGAATGCTTCTATGGTCTTCTAGCCAATTTCTTATTTTAGGCCGAAATCCGATGCAACCGCTACGTTTACCTTTCCAGCAGCACAAGTCTGCCTGCGTAGCTAACTCAGAATGTAAATGAGGTATGGCACAAGTGTGGGGATCGAAAAGCCAAACTATTCCCAAATTGGCCAAATGACTTGAGGGCAAGTCTCAGCAATTGTGAGCTTCACGTGAAAGCACTTGTCAGAAAAGCACGTGAATAAGTGTTATATAATTGATTGTGCCTCCATATACATACCGTTGGCCTTGTCCCATCCAACTACCTCATTTTTGATGCGCTCGTCAAGCCATTTCTCAAGCGGCTCATAGTACTTCTTTAAGGATGAAGCTGACATCTGCCGCGTGCCAGCCATGATCTCGAGGACATCGGGCCAAGGCTTAGAGCGACCCAGCGACAGTCCCTTCCTATAAAAAACATAATGCAGTAACAAAAAATACATGAATACATAATATAAGTAGCATATTACATACTTTATAAATGCGTAAATATGGATACATAAATACATTATGTATAAATATATAACGAAACAAAAGCATCGGACTACTTTTTGGAAAGCCAAATGGTAAAAATCAAGACAAATGCCAAGGATTTTTTTTCGCTATACTACAAAGCTTTGCCAATTCGCGATAGCGAGATGCAAGGGCCATTTCCAGCTTTTTATTAAACCTGTTTCCGTACTTCGGAAAAAGCTTCCAGTGACATTTTGCTGTGTTTTATCGTTTTACAAGGATGATTCAAGAAGTAAGGGCATTTCCTAATGTTTAAAAAGTTATGCGTCAGAATAAGGATTTATTTGTGCGGAGCCATATGTTCATTTTACGGCAAGGTGCTGAAGTTATTGTTCTAGTCTTGTTGTCGTCTGCTTCATCGGCAACGGAAATGAAACTGTCCACGAGAATCGTTTCTCGTGCCAGTTGTGAAGTGCAAGCTCTAATTCAATTTTTGAAGTCAGAAAGTCGTCACCTTCTCAAACTAACCGGGAGTTCTGCCTAGCTTATGGACCTACAGGAATGAGTGAAGGATAGGTCAGAAAACGGCACCGACACTTCACAAATGGCTGCATTCATTTTCGTGACAAAGAGCGGAATGGCAAGCTCAGCCTCAAGACTAATGAAACTGTCCAGCAACTGAACGAAAAAAATTGTGATTAGATTTGCGACTGACAGTTTACAGTCTGTCCGATAAATTTCATCTTGTTGAACGCTACATTTCGCATGATTACAACTGAAAAGCTCGAAATTCACAAAGCGTGTACAAGTTGGGTACCAAGGAATGCTCATCGACCGACTAAAATAGCGAAAAATTCCGAGGTGAAGAAATTTTGTGCAGAGGCACTGTATAAACTGGTGAAGCGGTATGACGAGTTCTCGAAAGTTTATGGTGATTATGTAAAAAGTCAGCTAGAGTTGTTATAAAACTAAATTCGTGAATATTTAGCTTTTGGGGATTTTAAGACCCTTACTTTTTGAATGGCCCTCTTATATAGTACTATTTGCTGTGGCACTATACATTGTACGTCAATTCCAGATATGTCGGGCCTGATAAAACTGTCAGTTGTTGGCCGACGTTGGTTTGACACTTTTATTTTAGATAAATGACCCCATAGAAGATGTGGCAATAATCTAAGTGACTGTATTTCATAAAAACAAAAGAAGGTATGAAATGAACAAAATATCTGGTGTTACCCTTGCTTTTTTTCAAATGTTTTAATTTAAACGAGCCTGACCAGTTACCTACGTTTTACTGAGGCCGTATTCTCGGAAGTGATGTTGGTGCTACGCTACAAAGTTAACGTGCAAAGAGCAGTCATGAATATACTAAAGGCAAAGAAAGTTCTTTTTTTTTGTCATGAGCATTGATTTACTTTCCATGAGTTCTTTTTCTGTTCTTGAAAAAAAGTTATTATACGGAGCTGGGGGAGGGGCAACTTTCTTTCGTTTGAATAAACGAGCTACGAAAAAATCTTGGCTGGTCCCCCAATAGAAAAATCGGTAGAGCATTAAATTGAAACCTGTCTTTACAGAGGTAGTCGAGCATTTATCGTGCATTGCTTCAGCAACAGCTAACAAATTGCAAAGCTATGTTAGAACGGCAAGCAGGTCGAAACTTGCAGCGCACACCTCAAGCAGAAAGCATGCACGAAATTGGAATACACAGAACGAGCACCGACGAACAACTGTTACAGCTCGACATTTAAAGCGTGCTATTCAAACAGAAAGTGGCATGAAGCGAGTGCACAAGTATGTACAGGACAAGCGCAAACAACTGTCACAATAGACCTTTTTCAAGCAATCCCACAACGCCCTGTTGGCGCGCAGAGAACTATGGGAAAAGTTGGTACGCCGAGAGAACTGGCTCTTTCTCCACCTGCTGCTTGTTGGAGCCGTGCGAGCACAAAATGAAAAGAACGTGCCGCCGCTTGTTAAATAGGGTCCAAACACACCTGCACGTATATCTATGCATGAAATGTGAAATGAATAACGCAGTTGGTGTAAGTATCACTGGACGGGTGTGCGTCATGAGCGGCATGCGAGTTGTTGCGTACCGATGCTTGTGGTCGAAACATGCTATCATGAGGAATGTGAGCTGGAACACTTGAATTCATAATTATTCAACGATGAACTCTTCATAAAGTGCTGTGGCTTTTATTACCATCGAGGTTCGATTGGGTCGTTAACACAAGACTTTAAAGAAGTGTTACAGCTATATATAGAATTTTTAAAATTTTTATCGACAAGCCACGCACTGGAAAAAAAAAGTAAACACATTCTAAACGTGGTTAAGGACGAAGAGTTGGAACTAGAATTCATGTGTGATATGGCTTGCTCTAATAATTTGCGGTTTCTTATAAGATGTTTAAGTGTCTGCAGAGCATGTGTGCTTGCAGTATATTCCGCATTGAGTCAGACCACTATTGAATTTCGCGTTGGGGCATTCAAATGTGTTTCAGTGAAGAATAATGATATTGCGCTTGCGCTCGGCGAAGAAAAAAAAAACTTGGGCACGTTACATGAGCAATAGTTTGCAACTGAAAGAAGGCGCTGTCCTGCTTATTACATATTGCATCGGTTTGTGAATAGCTCATTGGCACTGACGAAAAGGAAGGATGAATTTGGGTGACCTTCACCCGTGAAGAAACTAGGAATGTTGCAGTTAATCCATGCATACGTTTTGCACAGTCTGAAAGGAAGTTGTGAAGCGATACGAGATGAGCGTAGTCTTTTCTGCACCATATATGCTTAGTAACATTTCTTTCGTAGAGCGCAAAAGGTCGCAGGGGTATGCAAAACGCGAGAAGATGAGAGTTCTATGAGAGGCATGCCAATTGTTCTTTTGTTCTTTCAATTGTTGTGCAAGAGTTGTAACCAAATTTCTCTTGTGTTAACATATAGATCGGCCAGACTGGTTGATGTATCAACACGAGCACATAGCATCAAAATTCATTGAGTGAAGCCATCTCATCTCGCCTTGCATATTCAGTTATTCAAATGCAATTTCATCTTTGAAGGCCTGGTAACCTTGCACAGTCACCCTAACCAGACCATGGGAGAAATCTTGGAGACATATCGTAAAGAACACTGCATCTCGTTTAACTCAATTAACATTCGCCATCACTACAACACAAGAAACATAACTTCATTAATCAACTGTAAACACACACCTCAGTCTTTTTGTACCTCTTTGGGACATGCGTGATGCACCCCAATTTTCATATATATGTTTGCAACACGTGCGATAACATTTTAGTCGTGTGTGAACATTTCCGGTGAGCATATTTCTTTCCTGGTCGTACTTTTTTTTTGCGCTGTAGACTTTCTTCCAACCTTCAGTTACAGTGCCAAGAGAAGTTAATATAGATGCATGTGCTTGGAGCGGTGCGCAGTGGTCTAGTCAATGTATTTTATATTAACAAGTTGCATTTATTTCTAAAGCTCTGTTCAAATATACCATAACTGTACAATTTACTTGAAACAGCATCAAAAACATTAATTGATTCCTAATGCATCCGTGAATTTATAAACAGTGCTTGCACTTTTTAGGCAATGGGGTTGGACTGTTTTTTATTTGTGTCGAAGATGGACTGACGCTAAAGGATAATAATAATTAACAGACGTGTTAACTGACACTTCTCAGCCGCCCAGCTAGTTGAGCATGGGAACAACTACAAATCGTTGACATGCCATCGCACCCAAACACTGCCGTTTGTGAGTAAATCACGCAGTACTATATTAAACCTTGCCCAGTTCACTTGATTGGAAAAGCGCTGGCACGGTGCAAATGGAAAGTTGAAGCTTGATGTTCGCGCTCTCATTGCGGTGCCTGCTGTGGTGTACCAACTTTTCTCATAAGCGCTTGCGTGCACGTTTGCGGTGCTAGTGGGCTTGAAAAAGGTCTATTCTTCCTGCATCATGTGTCAGCAGCGCGCTCCTATCGTAAACGCGGCCGGGGCAACGTGTGATGTGACCTTCATCTTCCCCCGAATTTCGAGTCTGATTAGCGTGCTTGCAGAAGAGACCACACTCCTTGAAGGCGGCGCTTCGTAGAGGCGATGAACTTGAGAGCACGCTCAACGCGAGACTGTCGTGCCATCTAGCTACTGATAACGAAAACGCCCTAATATTTTGAAGTTCTGCCGACTTCCAATCGGTGCATGGTGTATATAAATGGCTTGCCATTAGCGTTCCGGACAACGTGCGCTCAGTGGCATATTTGTAAGTGCCGCACGCTGGGAATCGAGAGGTTCATGGTCAGATTCTGCGTGACGAATGCTTGGCATCTGTTTTTTTTTTCTTTGCAATCTCACAGAATAGGTTTTGCAACGTCACTTCCATCACAGAATTACGTAAATGGAGCCGCGGTGGGCCCTAACATAAAACACTTTCGTATCAAAACTAATTGTAGTGCATGTCCATGGCCTGAGGCTGGTGCATGACATCCCCCCCTCACCCAAGCGAAAAAACAAGAATACCTGTCTTGAGTTCTACGTAAATTAGTAGTACATGACTTGTTCTGTTAACTCCATGGCTTATTCTTGCTATGATTTGAAAAAATTTGCAACGCATTTAATTTGTTACCACATTCGAAGTACTTAAATCTAAATTGAAGAGCTTTGCTCTCGTTCTTTGCCACGTAGCAGGAGCAAGATGGGGCCCGTCAGAATCATCGCTACTTCGATTGTACAATGCTCTATTTGTGGGATACATCCGATACAGCATGCCGGTGCTCTCCAATATGAGACCTAGTTGTGTGAAGACGCTAGAGAGTGTTCAAGCTCAATGCTTACGAAGATGCTTGGGTCTACCGCGCTGTACTTCAACAAATGGGACAATTGCAGAGGCTCGGGCTTGTCCCATCAGTGTATACATGCTCTGCGAGCCACTTAAAGTTCACCTCCAATTGCTGAGCCGACACAGACAGCACCCACTGTCAGTACTACCCGCCACTCACCCAGATTGCAGTTTCTCAAGAGTAATATCGCGGCATGAGAATATTATACCATCGAGATTTTCCCCGCCAAAGGCCCCTGCAGTGCCTCCGTGGGTCCTGCCTAAACCACCTGTTTGTTTTACGATACCTGGAATTACGAAGAAGTCGCTCATTTCTTCTGTTGGCCTCAGAAAACTGACCCTATATCACATTTATACAACGTACAGTGATTCTCTGCACGTGTACACCGACGGATTCACCACGCTAAACACCTCCGCCGCAGCCTTTGTCATCCCAGACATGGATATCACTCGACGATTTCAAAGCGGACCATAAAACCACATCAACTGCCGCAGAGCTTGTCGCTATCCGGGAGGCAATAAGATTTATTTCCGGAGAGCGACCTCGAGCCTGGACGATTTTCTGTGATGCCAAACCCGCTTTGCAAACCATTAATTGCATCATGAAGCAAGGTCCGTATTACAGCTTGGCAATAGAAATCACAGAACTTATTCAGGTTACTTCAACAAATGGCCATCTTATCACTTTCCAGTGGATTCCCGCTCAATGCGGTGTGATGGGAAACGAAGAGGCAGACACTGAAGCTAAAAATGCCTTAAGCAGTGCCCCTGAAGTACGCATTGCGTTTTCACGAGCTGACACGAACGCCCTGCTTCGCTGCGTGATGCGCAGCTACACACTTCAGCACTGGACCAAACCGGAACGGCTACATCAGCGACTTCACAAATGGGACCCGGAAATGACGTTCCACATGCCCCCTAAATTGAAACAGCAACTCGCAAGTATGATCCACCGCATTCGTCTTGATGTGGCGTACACAAGGCGTTACACACATATCATCGGTCGCAGTGACACCGGTCCTAATTGTGAACACTGTGATGTGCCAGAAAGGCTTGAGCACATATTTTGTGTCTGCCCAGCATACGCACGTGAACGACAAACACTGATTTCTTCTACTGAACTATATCGCAGTAGGTCATTAACTGATGAGACCGTGTTAGGCCCTTGGCCAGACACCAACAGTGCAACTGCGGTCACAAGAACAGTTATAACCTTTTTGGAAACAACTGGACTATATGTGCAGCTATAAAATGTGTCTCAGCTAGAAAGAACACTACGTACTCACCTCTCTATCTCACCATCGTCATCCATTAATCTTTCTTTTCCCCTTTCCCTTCCCCCAGTGTAGAGTAGCAGGCTAGAGCAAGCTATCGCTCAGGCCGACCTCTCTGCCTTTCTGTAAATAAACTTATCTCTCTCTCTCGATTACATTAGGCATCTCTTTCATTTGACCTGAACCCACTATTCCGCAAATGAACCAACTTTTCTGAAAATATGGTTCTGTTGCACTCAAAGCAGACATAAATTTGGAGGCGTCACCATAGATGTCACACCAGGTAATTGAGTGATTCTGAAAATGTTTCATCTGCAACCACTGCTCAGCGATACCTGTATTTTTCTTTAAATTGGCTAGTAGTGTCTGCAAGTGTTTTCACAAGAAACTGACAAGATTCAAGTGCATTGCTTCCTGTTTTCGGACAACGCTATTTCTTTCGTCACGTGCAAGTCTTGTACAAGATTCTTTGAAGTGTCATCTGATAGGAATTCATAATTATGAATACGCGTATCTTTTGCTTGGACCTTCCGTTGTCTTTCTGCAAGAATGTTTCAGTTTGGACAAGATACTTGAAACCTGACATGAGATCAGTGAAAAATATTGGTTCTGCTGTCTGTATGCTGGCAATGTCCGTGTGTTCTTGAGTCTAACAAAGAAACAAGGTCACTGTAGCGTGTGAGAGGGCATTGATTGTTCTGCTGCCGCCCCGTGCAAAGATCATGATACACTTGGCGCTCTGTAGTGAAAAGCGTAACAGAAACTCACCACCTTAAAACAAGGGCACTGGTTAAAATTGCATTGTTTCCCTATACATCAAGGTACACAGGAAGGTGCCTTGTGCCCTAGCTCAATTGGTAGAGCTTCACACGTTATATTTCAAAGGTCATGGGTTTGGATACCACTGACGAAAAGGGGGCGCTTTGACTCATTTACATTCCTTTCAAGTTATGCCATAGTTACTATATTACAGTTAAAGAAACATAAAATAATGTCTCTGTGCTTTCCTTGCCTTAATTGGTTCTTGGTATAAATTAATTGTATTAGTTTAGTCATTGAAATCTTGCATAATCAGTTGTGTCTGTTGCAGAGTTGGTGTAGTTTCCTGCTAATTGCACGCTTTTTGATAAGACAAAAAAATAAATGAACTTATCGAGCTTAAGTGGCCGTGAGTGTTAGCGATGCTTAGGAACCCTTACTTGAGGACGTCACCAGCGGTCTTCTCTCCGTAAATGTCGCATTCATGGAATGGATGCTGTTCGTCCATCTTCTTTGCGACTGTGCATAAATGCTCGTGGAACTGGAACTGAAGGATGAACGCCACGAAATATCTGAAAAAGAGGGACAAACAGTCAGGTAGGCGGAATTGAAATATGTGTAGCTCTAATATGCCACGTGTGCATCAAATTCCTAAAAAAAAAAAAAACAGCATGGCCAGAGTTGCCAGCTCCACTTATAATAAACGGACTTGGGCTTCTTTTTTCAGAGTCTCTTGTAAAATTTTCCAATCGCTTGTCGTGTTTCTTTTAGATCTTTTTGCTTTTTTCAAGTAAATGTAGTAATTAACTGTGAATCATTTCTCTGCACACTGCAAGCACTTTGAGCATGCATGCATGCATGCATCTATCTATCTATCTATCTATCTATCTATCTATCTATCTATCTATCTATCTATCTATCTATCTATCTATCTATCTATCTATCTATCTATCTATCTATTCTATTGATCGATCCAGCCAGCCAGCGAGCCGCGTACGTTTGAGTGCTCTCGTAATATAACACCCTTCACCCGGGGACAACCAAAGTTAGGATGGGAGGGTCAGATGGTTTGTCCAATACGACTCGCTCGTCATGACATGGATAATGTCATAATCCCGTTGCCTACGTCGTCCAACACTTTCATGCAGACAGTGGCGTGCACATTCCAGCGGGCGCGTGTGTGCCACAAGTTATTGACAGATTATATTTCCCCAGGAACGACGAAAATAGAGATGGGTAATTTTAACGCGTGAGCGTTCGAAAATGCTGACATCGGCAGCGTCGGCCCGACGAATGCAAAGAATAAATGTCAGGGTCCCAACAGGAATCGAACACCAGCATTCAGCGTGGCAATCAAGTATTCTAACACAGAGCCATGCCCGGTCTTGGATATGATTTTCAAATAGACTATTATGTTGGTGAAACATCGATTGTGGTTGCAGTGCTGGCTATTCAATTTTATAAAAATTATTACATATGTACATTTATTATACAGCTGTCACGTCGGGTTAACGTGACCTGTAGCTGGGTGCCATCCACTTAACTTGATCAATGTAGCAATATCCGGGGCTACCATCCTCACGAGCACCAGCGCTTCATATCGGCTTACCGCTTCTGATGTTGCTGATATACATGTTGCTGTTGGCATGGTTACGCAACTGCAAACAACTGATTATAGTATAAAAATATGTGACTGTTTAATGTATGTCTGTGCGTCCATTTTACAAATCTGTAGCGCTACTTCGTAACGTTTTTCGGCTCAATAAAAATTACAGTTACTGACATTTTTTCGGATCAGTTCGCTCACCTCAGGTACGGAACGTGCAAAGCCACGTGGTACTTAGCTCCACCGTCAAAGAAGGACTCGTTGCGCTTTACCGGAGGCGACACGCCTTGGTATTTTATCCTGTGGGAGAAAATAATTCGTCAAATAAATCCAAACTGCTTTGATCGAACGCGATAAGTAAAGAAAGTCTTGTCGATCGTTCTAAAATTTAGCACCGAGAATGCATGATTGCCGCTTTCTTGTTAGCATGAAAAAGGAGAACCAGTTGCATGGCGTCCACGGGCAGTGCCAGAATTTTCTCACTGGGAATATTTCTCACCCGTGTACGACAAGTGAGTTCGTCCAGGGGGGCAGGATCATGGGAAACTCATGCATTCTCTTTGACTATGCTTGCTCTGGGGGAGGGGGGGGGTGCTATACTGTTGCAGCCATCACACTTATGCACAGCAAAGCTTATGGGCCGGAGCGGTTACCGCTAAATTTGGTTTGAGCAGTAAACTACTTGTACTGAGTGCTTAAATGAGTGAAGTGTACCTAAAGGAACACTAGGGTGAAACAATGGCTTGCTCCAGCACCCCCCCCCTCCCGTAACTCCGCTAGCACTGCCCTTGATGACGCCATTTAACAACGAAGAATATAACATGACAAAAATCTCGATGTATACCTGGCTGTGGCGGCTGCATTTTCGATGTAGGTGAAAATGCTGAAGGTCCGTGTGCTCAGATTAAGGCGCACACTAAAGAATCCCATGTGATCAAAATTTCCGGAACCCTTGACTACGGCGTCTCTCATAATCATATGTTGGTTTTGGAGAGTTAAACGTCACATATTGATTAATTGATTTGTGGGGTTTAACGTCCCAAAACCACCATATGATTATGAGAGACGCCGTAGTGGAGGGCTCCGGAAATTCCGACCACCTGGGGTTCTTTAACGTGCACCCAAATCTGAGCACACGGGCCTACAACATAACCTCACATATCAATTATCGAATCAATCTCGTAAGTGGATATCTTTAAAAAATCACTTGATGCTTACTAATCAAAGAGTACATATTTTATCACAATTGTGTTCCGACTTGTGCCATGCATTGGGACAAAAGAAAAACAATTTTGATGTTTTTGTCACACGTCTGAACGAAGATGATCCAACATGCGAGCTCTGTCATACGCAATAGCAGCACTGAGTGAGGACAGTAGTGGTACTCTTCAGTAATCACGAGTACCTGTCTTCTTTTTCGGCCGGTGTTATTTCTCACCAACGAACTCTTGCACTTCGGTTCACGTCGAGGAGACGCACCTGTATTCCCAGAACTTCTCGTTCATTTTGTCGAACGGCGTCTCGCCGGTGAATATGGTCCAGCGCCACTTGTCCAACAGGTATCCGAATGGCAAGAAGGCGATCTTGTCAAGCGCCGACATCAGCAGGAGGTCAACAGCATCTGCAGGAAGGAATTAAGATGCCATCAGAAAGAGCAAACCTCGCGTGCTTTCACACTTGCCCCTCAATGGGATGCCGAACGTAACAGTGTCCAAGAAATTGCTCAACAGAGCACAAATGATGGCATGAAAAAGGGCTGCACATGGACAGAAAGACAGGGGTGTCCATAGAAAAGCACTCCACGCATATATATATATATATATATATATATATATATATATATATATATATATATATATATATATATATATATATATATCCTCCTCTTTCTTTTCTTCCTCCGTGGTCTCGTGTGGTGACGCGCCATCATTCCAATTACGTAAAGGGAAGTTCGTGCGTGACGCATCACAGGTACCGCCCTTCCGGCGCACTCGGTGCGTTTAGTTTCGGTTTCTTCTGCATCGCGGTCCGGAAATTCGATGATGGATCTCCGAAACTAAAGCATGATACATTCTATTTTGAAAAAAACTCGGCTGGACATAATTTGTGACGTAAAACTACTTCTCTTTATAAACAAGCACCCTAAATTTGATAGTTAAAAGCTAATTGAACTAATTTTCTTAATCAATCTTGTCTGAGCGATCTAATTAGGGGCAAAATCTTTCCGTCTCGATCTAGAAATCGTCTGCTAAGACGGCAAGTGCCTTACTATTGGAGTTTTTAAGAAAAAAAAATATGAACTTCGGATACTAGTTTTGTAATGCAGTAGCAATAATCTGCATACAGCTTGACTAGCACTCTCAGGTTTCACATGTTCGCGTGAAACCTCCTTCAGGGTTACTGACTAATCTTGCCGGTTATGTCACGGCAGCGAAAGAAACGCTGCCTGTGTTATGACCCTCCCTTCCCCCTGCCCTACTTGTGGATGCAACCCCCTCCTCCCTGCAAGAAGTTCTCGGATGCCCTTGCACAAGGGATGAGATATTGTCGACCAAGGAGGAGTGTCGGTGGAGCCGACGTCACAGCATGGGACTGAATTCGCTCTTGTCATGGCCGCGGATGTTGCTGCCCTCAAAGAGACAAATCCCATTGCCAGAGTGTGGGCTCTCTTGGTATTTTGTTCTTTTGGTTGTTTCTCATTACTTGAAGCTTGCGCATTCTCCCGTCTTGTTTGAAAGACAACACATTCTGTACATTTTTAACTCCTTGACAACGAACAAAGTAGGATTCTTTCAAATGAAGACTGAACATATACGCCTGATCAACAGATACCATCGAAAACAGCTACTCACTGTATTTATCCGTTGGTTTCAGCAAGTTAAGCTTTTCGTAATGTGTTTTCGTGGCAACTGAAAGGGCTATCAGATCTCCGACGGCCTCGTGGAAACCTGCGCAGAGGGAGGAAAACATGTTAGGCACGTTTGTTGCATTTCTAACCAAGCAAGGCTCTTTACAATCTCCGAACGAGATTTTTTCATGTGTATCCATAGGGAAAAACTTGTCCGGGTAGCCTGGGCCCGGGCCGGTAACCTTGCAGGAGCTTATTTAATAAAGTTTTTCCCACCAGTTTTGGAAATAAATCGGCAGCTTTTTGCGTTTTTAGGCGGGTTCAGGTGTTTCCTTTTGTCGGACAATGCTGAAAGTGCGTCCTTCAAGCAGACATAAAAATGAATGTGCTTTTTTATAAATACTCCAATTTTCTTGAACTTCGTAAATTCGGTACCTGCCTAGACAAAATCAAATTTAGATGTACGAACTGCTTAATGTGCATGCAAAAACATAATTTCCTCATTTTTTTAAAATTTTTCATCATAAAGTGCCTACAACATAAATGATCTAGACTATTTGTACATAGTACATGTTTGCCATTCATTCTTTTGCTATGGCTGCGTACGATGACTGGAACGACTGGTCTCTTCGTTTTGGCTGCACCGGCTGAACCAGTTCAAAGGGTGCAGCACCTTCGTCCTCGTTTTGCCGGAGCAGCGCGCGCCCTCTGTCGCACCCTCTGCACTGGCTCCCTCGTTTTGTCTAGGTGTAAGCCTAGTTCCTGACGAGTTCTGTACCGGCGTGCACGCACTCCAAAGCAGGTGCAGAGTAGTGCAGCATGGCGGGCGTCCCCCCAAGGCCAGAGCAGACGACGTTGCAAATAGTTGTTCAGGGCGTTCAAAAGGAAGTTAAGGCACTTCACAATCCCGACGGGTCATTTATGACGGACGCCAACGGTTACGTCTATGAGGCATCAGGTAAGTCAGGCTGCATGCATTGCCAAAAAACGTGGTTAGCGGCCAGGAGTCGTAGTCGGTCAGCAAACAGCCTCGTAGCATTGCTTATGCTATGTCGGTATTTTTAATCTTGGTTTTCGCCCTTGCAGACGGCAAGCGCGTTACGTTGCGGTTCATGGCAGGGAATCGTGAAAATGACCCCCCTCCGGCACAACCGCCGACGCCTTCTCCTGCCTGCGACGGCGACGTTGACAGCGATGGGGCTTTAGCCGCATTTCCAGCAGCAGCCGCGTCGGCTGAAGATGTGGAAGAGCTTTGGAGCGCCCGAAAAACAAGGTTCTTCATCGCCAAATACTCGGAAATGAAGGACTTGGTGGGAAAAACCAGGGCACTTCGGTATGTCATCCTATGTCCAAAATTATTTGCAGCTTTTTATTATTCCGTTTCACTCTAGGCAAGCACCAACAAGATAAGGGCGCATGAAGTTCACAATGGCGATGGTTATTGTTGCCTACATTTTACTGCCAGCAATTTACATTTTACTGCCCCCCCCCCACTGAAAAAAAATTTTGGCTATGCGCCTGACTGTGACATATACGTTTACATATACACACAAACAGTATGTATAGTCACGCACATATATACACAACGAAGGCATTCGTAATGTTTCATTAAGTCAAGTGATCTTCAAAAACAGCGACGGTGCTTTTGTGTTGGGCATTGCACAACCGCTGTCTTGCCGAAAAGGTGCAGCACCTCCAAGCTCAAGCCATGTTGCAAGTGTAGTGCTGCCTTGAGAATTTGCACTAGAGGGAATTGCATGTTGTTATTCTGAGGCACATCTCTAGCAAGTCTCGCCCTGCAGTCCTTGTGTCTTCACTGTCTGTCCGCATTTCTCTCGCACTGCCACTTTTCAAGATGGTGCAGCTCATTGTTAAAAGAGATATGCTTCTTGACACGTGCTACCCTATCTTTGAACCTAGACTGCGCCGTCGTGTCAGCAAACAAGGTTGCGCAGCTGCATGTTTTACAATGCAAAGACAGGTTAGAATATGGCTGTCTCCTTAGTGAAGCTTTATGATCCAAAAGAGTGATTTACACAATGTTCAACTTCTCCAACATAATGCTTCCCGCACAAAAAGAACGTTCGCAGTTATCAGAAGTGTGTGAATAGTGAATTTCGGAACCTAATCAAGTAAGAGTCAAATAGTAATGGCACCAAATAGAATACAAATAGTAATTGAATACTGTTTGAATAGTAAGTAGACCATTTTCAAAACAGCCTTAGAACAGAACATTTTATTTGAAACAAATAGTCACAAACTTTCGACAAAGGCCATTACAGTCAGTTTGAATCTACTCAAAATACCACAATTACGAAAACTAAGGTAATCTCGTATGCAGCAGGAACTAGAATATTCGTAACATTTTGTAATTGTAGGTTCAACTACGGCATTGACTAGCGTTATCAACGTGAGACTTTGTCACCTCACTTTAAATAAAATTGGGACACAAAAACAAAACAATTTACAACCAAACATTGCAGATACAACTAAATATGTAACGGAGCAGATCAACCCGTCATCACAACATGGCCTGCGCACTAAAAGCGGATAACAATGGGCGTTGAAATTTACATCTGCAAGAACAATTTACGCAAACGCAAAACTTGTATCTGTTGCTAGTCGTGAAGCTGCAAGCACTCGTAGTTCCCACCTTTGGTTATTACAAGACGAAGACAGGAGCTGATAAATGCGATACAGCTAAAGTGCAGTAAAAATTGAGCAAGAATGGAGCTTTCAGAAGCGCATTCATTCGACAATCAATATAGTGTAGGTAGTCTTGCAAAAGCTTGGGCTGCGTACAGGTCACATTAGGGATTGAAAGAATGACTTGTAGCTGTTTCGTTGTTTTGGGGTTCTCCCGCCAGTGCCGATTATTAAAAGAATATTTGTTACTTAGAATATGTGCAATTCGATTCGACTTAGGAACCGAATACAGTGCTGTTTGATTCATTATCCAAAATTTTCGAATAATCGAACATCCCTAGCAATTATCCCTGAAAGCTACACATATGAAGTACTAAGGAAAGGTTCATGTGCTACTGCAAGACTTGGGTCACGTTACGTCGCTTCCTTCTTTCCTACTAACTGTGCTTTGCTTTTTTGTTTAGCACAAGAAGGCTTCTGTGGAAGAAGTTGGCTGAGGCCATCAATACGGAGTTCTTGTGCAACGTGACTGCCACACAAGTGGAAAACAAATGGAAGTCGCTGGACAGAGCATATAAAAGTCAAAAAAAGACAACAATTCTTCAGGTCACCACCGTGTGAACTGTGAATATGAAGAGTAAGTTACGATTGTGTCTTCATATCTTCAGTGATTCTCATAGTGTCTATTACAGAGAGCTGGCAGAAGTCTTGGAAAAAGAACATAGTGTAAATCCAAGGCTGCTCTTGGAGCCTGGAAAAACAATCCTGCCTAGTGCAAGTCCAGAGTAAGTAAAAATTACTTAATTTGTGCTGTAGCCTGGAAATGACATGGCACCTGTACAATTACTTTCAACAGCACCAGCATCACTGAAGCACCTCAAGATGCAGCAGTCCCAGTCGAGTGCAACACAGCATCCAAAGTTCGGAGCAGCACAACGCCAAAAAGGAAGCGCCAGAGTAGGTCCCAAGTCACGCCGCTCTTGGAGGCATTAGAAAAAATGCAAGCTTCGAGAGCTAAGCAAGAGGAGGCAGCAGTGAAACAACTGGAGGAAAGAAAAAAATGGGAAGAGGCAAAGGCAAAGCGGCATGATGAGCGCATGCAGCGATTCGATCGGTTGATCGACGTACTCTCAAATAAGGACGGGTTATAATATGGGCAATAAACTTTTATAACACTAGCAGTGTCTACTCCATCTAATTTGTTAAAAAAAACATTGCTTCTAGACGCGGCACCCCACTTCGCAAAACATTTGCACACTGAATAAATCGCGAAGCAAAGATGAACTTCTAGCACTGTTCCTTTGCAATGAACTCTCGCAGAGACTGACTGTAGCCTGGCAGACTGCAATCAAAATCTCCTTCACTTTCATCATTGCCCACATCTTCTTCTTGGGGAAGCGTTGCAAGTTCCTCAAGGAAGTCCCTTTCATCGTTGCACATGTTGTGTAGCACACACGCAGCCATAACTATATAGCAGCACTGTTGCACACTTTTTGCATCAACAAGGTAGAGCCTCCTAAAACGCTGTTTAAGCAGGCCGAAGGTGTTCTCAATAAGCACTCGTTGTTGACTGTGTCGTTTATTGAAGCTCTTTTTCCACGTAGGAAAAGAACTTCCATTGTCCTTGAATGGGGTCATGAGCCATGGCATCAGTGGATATGCACTGTCACCCAGTATATAATTGTCTTCACATTCCTGAATTGCGCGTGCAAAGAAGGGGCTCTCCCTCAGGACACGGGCGTCGTGAACCGAACCTGGAAACCCAATAAACACGTTCAGCAACTTGTTCCTGTCGTCGCAGATTCCTTGCAGGATTATCGAAGGCCACTTTTTCCGGTTGAAGTAAGACTGCGTAGATTCGCTTGGAGTGAGTATCCCGATGTGTGATCCATCGATACAGCCGATGGTGTTTCTTGGGCCCTTGCCTTTACTTTTGGCGAGGAAGCCGTTCTTTATGCGGGTCACTTCCGCGCTACTAGGCCAGCAAATTATCTCATCGCTAATAGCGTGTAAGAAGTGAACGACCCGTGTCACACAAACATGAACAGACGACTCGGTAACATCGAATTTGTCGCCTATGGCGTACATAGATATTTGTGAGCCTAGGTACACAAGCGCTATGAGGCATGTTTTTTCGGCACTGATTTGTTGGCGGCCTTGCACTGCCCTTGGGTAGAAGGCTGAAGTCTTGAACTTGGCCCTGAAACTATCAAAAGTCTCCCTGGACAGCCTGAAGAGGCGCTTGAATTCATACTCATGGTACCTGCCGATAATGCTTTCGTACCCGGGTACACGGTTGGCATCGTCGCGCACCAACGCGCACGCGACCAAGATGCACGCATCGTCGTACTCATCGTCGCAGTCACTGCAAACGGCACCGCTGACGGAATCGTCGTCGCTGCTCGAGTCCAGCAATTCCATCGCAGTCACAAGAAGTGCCATCACGGCCGTGTATTGATCGGACAAGGCGGCGGAGGCGGCTATTTTAGGCTTACACTACAAGGTGTTCTCCGGCCTGCACTCACGTCAACTCACGCCTTCGTTTTGGCTGTAGCCGTCGCGCGCTAGTGTCGGCTAGTGCCGAGGCGTGGTTGAGGCTGCACCTGCACTTGCTCGACCGGCGCTGCACGCTCACTGCACCGCTTGGCACCGCTTTTTCTGCACCTGCACTTTTCTGAACTAGTGCAAGCCAAATCGAAGATTCCTGACGTAAACCTGTCTCTTTCTGTTTTCGGTACATCATGGGCGCGCAGCTGCGACTCATTGTCTGTATTGTTCTGCGTCGGAGTATGAGCTCGGTGGCTTCAATCTCTTGGCGCAGCTGTTTATTTAATCTCGCATGTACCTAACAAGAAGTGGGTGGAAACAACTTTATTATTGGATGGATTGAAACAACTTTATAGGGATGGCTGGAAGCAAATGCATTGTTCAACAAGAACAAGTTAACGTGATCTCAAGAAAAACGAACACAGTTTAATCGATTGATATGTGCGGTTTAACGTCCCAAAACCACCATATGATTATGAGAGACGCTGTAGTGGAGGGCTCCGGAAATTTCGACCACCTGAGGTTCTTTAACGTGCACCCAAATATGAGAACACGGGCTTACAACATTTCCGCCTCCATTGGAAATGCAGCCGCCGCAGCCGGGATACCATCCCATGACCTGCGGGTCAGCAGCCGAGTACCTTAGTCACTAGACCACCATGGCAGGGCATTGGCGAGTGCATGAGTGGCACCATTTAGTCGCGGAGGCGATCGGCTGCCGCACGTCGGTCATCTGGGAGGAGCCCTTCCCAACTTACGTAGTATTCGTCTATAGCGTACTCTCTTTGTGATGCCATTTCCGTCACGGAAGGGAGGACGTAAATTGGTGGAGCGTGTTTTAAAGAAGATAAACTCCTAAATCTGCAATCGCGCAATTGATTTGAATGCAATAAAGGCGGAAAAACGTTTGAATCAGTAGATGAGACAACCTTCGTTGGCTCCCTCTTGCAGCAGGACGTGCAGGTGCTTGTACTGCATGTAGTACTCGATGTGGCCCATCTCGTGGTGGACAGTGCGCAGTTGCTCGATGCTGGGGTCAGTGCACATCTTTATTCTGCAAGCGGAAAGCCGAGACAAAGGTTTCAGTCATGCGTTGAAGAGCTAAAAGTACATGTTTTGTTAAGTCTCAGCTGAAAACTGTGCAGTATTTCCCGTCATCTAGATGTGGAAAGGAGTGCTGGGGGTTGGAGGAAGGACGGATTATGCGATTTATGCGGGAATGACAGTTTTAGTGTTGCGGAACTCAGCATCATTGTCACTGGTAACGCGAAGGCGTCATCATAAAGGTATACTCATTCTGAGCGTTTATATATATATATATATATATATATATATATATATATATATATATATATATATATATATATATATATATATATATATATATATAGGTGAAAGAAGTGTACACCTAAGTGCTCGTTTTTCCGTGTTTTGACAGAATATTAATTAGATATGACAGAGAATAATGCCAAAGAAAGTATAGAGATGTTATTGGGCCAAATTGTAATGTAAATGTGAAGAAAAGTGGGGGAAAATATAACTTGCCGTGAGCAGGAACCGAATCTGCGACCTTAGAATAACGCGTTCGATGCTCTGCCACTGAGCTACCACGGCGGTTATCCTCTCACTTTTTTGGGTATATATGTGAATTTAAACGTGGGAGTGTCAGCCAGCGCCACCAGTGGCCATGGCGGCGAGTGTGGCACACGTGCCACCATGGTTACTATATGTATACAGTTTTGCATATTATGATTTAGCTATGTCTCTCTCTAAGGGTTGTTAGACAATCGTAAAACCCCGCTTTAGCCAGGCTGTTGGTTATTTTCATTTATATGTCGCCATACTTTAATATTTTTTTTTACAATTTGTCCGTCTATCTTCTTTTTTTTACTTGCATAGATCTCTGCGGTAACTCGGTGATTACGATCACTATAGGCTGCTGACTCGAATGACGTTCTCGGCCATGCCATTCGAAGCATTTTCATTAAGATGAAAGGCTAGCTATGAGCATTGCGGAGTCATGTTAGCGCGTGTTGAAGAAATCAGGGCGGACGAAATTATCGTGAGCGCTCCAGTATATAGGACATCCCTCATGGCCTGTGTCGCTTCGGGACGTGAAGCCCTCCAAACAAAGCTATATAGCGAGTGCCGCTTCGTACCTGAAGTCGTCGCCGTTGTACATGTTCCAGGCCGAGGCGTGGCACTGGATCTCTCGGTCTTTGGGCTTTGTAAGGATGGACTTGTTCCAAAACTCGCTGGTCATGTTGTCCAGGCCCAGACTCGTAAAGAAGTCCTCCGCTGCGTGGAACATCTTTTGGGCATCCCATTTCTGGAAGAGCGGCCACATCAACTGAGTTGGAGCGATCAATAGTGCAGAGACACAGATGGCGCAGCTGCATGGAAGTGTAACCGCGGTATTCTCGGCACACCATCTGTACGACAGCTATAGTATTTGTCAAATACGTTTGGCGCGGTGAGAGGCGATGTATTCTGTATGCAATACATTACGAAAAACTTCTAAACACACATTATCTGCTTCGTACTACGAAATAAAGGATCTGCAAGTGTTAAAACATCAGCTACGAATTCCAGCGCTAACCTGTGGTGGAGGTATTTCAGAATAGCGAAAATTACTTTTGAAGGTGCTTTAACATGGCGTCATGGGATCAACGTCTGGTCGCTCTACGGGCGAGAGTATAAGGTCGCTTAGTGCCGTCCAATCACGACGGGAGAAAGTAAGCAACTGGTGAGCTGCTTGCTAAATGGCTGGTTGCATGCAGATGAAGCACTTCACACTGGTCTGATGCGGACTAATGCAGTGATTCGTTGCTACCTCAGAACGCAGCGGAAAGCGTTAGCTCTTTTTAACGTAAGTTTAAAACTTCATTTTTTAGTGTTTCTTTCCGGTGCGCTTCAGCTTTGAAGCCAATACAACCTTTTCATGAAGACTAAACGCAGTTCTTATACCGACCTCTTCCACCATGGTCTTCGAGATGTCCAAAGGTTTGTCTTCCATCGTTAGGTGAGGGTATAGTGTGCCCCACTCTTGCGCCCACATGTTCCCTGCATAACGGAAGATGTGGAGCAGGCATACTTAAATACTGTCCGAAAAGAATCATCTGTATATGTTATCCTTTAATCATTGAAGCAGTAATCCTGCAACCATTGGGACGAAATTTCACTGAATATTTGTTTCAGTTTAATTAGCGCCAAGTTTGCTATTTGCAAGCGCATAGCAATCGCGACGTCACACAGATGGTTTAAAAAGCGACAGAACTGATTGCAGGTCCTCATCAGTGAATCTTTATGTTCATTTATCTCCCGGACAAATCAACGCGTCGACTGGTTTGGTTTACACAATATTCGTGAATTGTCCTGAAGTTTTTTTTAATTATTGAAAGCTCACAAAAAATACCGTCAAGTTGTGATCAAGTACATGATTATAACTAAGCCAACGACTGTGCTCCCGTTTTAATAGACAGTTTTCTCTCTAACGAAGTGCTCTATGGGACATGGTCAACCGCCTTACAGTAGCGGTACCGATAACACCATGTTTTTACAGGAGCGCGTTTTTCTCGAAGATGTACAGGTACCATATAGTATCTGGGGTCTTGCGTGCCAAAACCATGGGATGTGACTATCAGAAACGCCATAGTGTAGGGCCCCAGAAATTTCTACGATTAGGCGTTCTTTAACGCGCAATGACATCGCGCGGCACCCGGGCCACCGGGATTTCCGCCTCCATCGGAATTCGACTGACGGGGTCGGAATCGAACCCACGACCTTTTGGTGAGCAGCCGAGCACCACGAACACTGCTCCACTGCGGCGGACAGTCATGATAGAATTAGGAAGCTGATTTCCATTTCAATAACGCGGTCACACGGGCACCTTAATCTGTTCAACTCGCGCGTCGCGACGCCAAGATAGATGCGGTCCGCGCCACGGGGTCTTCCTTACGCCGAGGAAGTTAAAACGAAGCGTTTCGCAAAGACTTTTCACTATCTCAGCTAGAGGAGGAACGGAGGGCTCTCGTCCCCAGTATTATTCAGTTACAGAGGAAAAAAAGAAAAATCTGTAAACACAAGCGAGCTGCAGTCAACGTATTAACAAATTTTATCAACTTAAAAAGTTCTCTCGCTGCATAATTCCTTTCATAGCGTTGTTTTAACGACAACAAAAAATACGCGTATAATTTTCGTATCAGACGTGAAATCTTCCGTGCAGACATAGGGGCAACAGTTCATACAATGGAGCCCTTGCGGCTTCTGTTCAAAGTTGGCAAAATTTGCGGGTCACATGAGCAAAATCTTCATCGAATTCCCTTATGGAGTTTTATCTTTATGGAGTTCAAGTGAGTTCCGTGGTGGTCGGCCGTATGACTCAAGTATAATAATAATAATAATAATAATAATAATAATAATAATAATAATAATAATAATAATAATAATAATAATAATAATAATAATAACGCACTTGCTGTTACTTGCGGATATATTACTGACGTGACCTTGCTATCAAACATATTTTTGTAAAGGTTTGCGCGCCTTGTGCAGGCGCTATTCGAGCAAAAAATTTGGTCGGCAAACCTCGGGAGTTGTTTTGAGCGCATATTTGAACTGCAGGAGAATGCATGGCACACTTTCTTCGAGTACAAAATGTTTCTGGGGGATGTCAACGTTGTCATAACGTCTACACAATACTTCCCTTTGCGTTGTTGTATAAAACAGTCGAGACGTACACAAAAAATTGGATGACGCTCGAGCTTCGCCTTCAGGTGTAGAACGCGGCAGCGTAATCGGACCACGCGTGCGCACGTCGCCTTCAACCGTGCCGCACGCAAAGAATTCGTCTATGTGCGTAGCGCTGTGCCTTTCAAGCTACCCTATAGATTATCCATTGGATGTACAGTTGGCAAGCGCCCACTGTATACGCCATAATTGTGCCTTTCGTAAAATGGCCAAGTACCCATCTACACGCCCGAGGTGCCACATGGGTAGCTGCGCACTCGGTAATGGGTAAGCAGCTTTAAACCGCCCACGCGGTGCGCAGTTCACTTGTTTTGATTCCTAGTTCTGTTCTACCGTCCCGCCACGCAATGTTACCGGCGCTATGCAGACTCCGCCTATTACGTATACATAACAGTCTTTATCATTTTTCCACGAAGTCTGAAGCACTGGCTACGTGGATCGATGTATAAAACCTGCTTGCACCGCAGCAGGCCTATAGGTTCGATTCTCACTCGGACCGAACATTTTATTCTTTTTTACATCTATTTATAATAGCTGCTCATGGACAATTGATTGATTGATTGATTGATTAAAACTTTATTTTGGTCCTGAGAAGACGCCGGGGAGACCCCGCGTCACCCGGCTAATCCCACGTAGTGACCGTCAAGCTGAGCATGGCGGCCCGTTCACGGGCACTCTGGACGGCCAGGGTTTGATCGTTGAGTTCGTGGGCTGCGCAAAAGCGCTGCCCACCTGTCTTCGCTTAAGGCAGCCGGTGGCTTAACATTCCCACAACAAAGGCTCACGGACAACGCTAATTTTTCTGACTCAACCAACGACACCGATACCAAAACTGACACAGGATTATTTCTACGAAACGAGCTCTTTAACGCTGTCGCGTTAAGAAGGACAATCCTCGGTATACGCACATTTCCGCTTCGAAATTTTCGCCCCCACACTAAAGCTAATAAACGAACATGTTGATACCCAGTGCTGGGCGTATGTGGACTTACCTAAGAGATGGGCCGGTATCGTGCCATCTTCGGGCAGGCGTCCAGGATAAATCTCCCTGAGCTTCATTCTCACGTAGGCGTGCAGCTTTTTGTACAGCGGAGACAGCTCTTCCCACAGTTTGTCGACGATCTCGGTCATGTTTTCTGTCTCGTAGTCACTGAGCCAGGCGCTCTTGAGATTGTCGTAACCTGCCATTAAGGCGCAAAAGAGCAGTCAGTGCCGTAGACCACAATGAGTATTCCAGTCCCATCCCAGGAATGGAATCTAGATAAATAAAGTGCTGCACAATTTCGTTAGTATACTATCTGTCTTCAGAGACTTGTAGGATGTGCGCGTACATTAAGCTTATTGATAACAATTGATATTATGTCATATTGTTTTTGAAAATAAAATTGTGTATATTTTTTGCTTCCTTCAGCTTGGCATAATTCTTTTGACGGAACTGACTGATGTTGTTCACTGTGTCTGTGAAATTCATCTAAAAAAAGTGCCGCCATATCCACGAAGTGAATGATGATGAGTGGGCGAAGCTCTGGAGGAAAACCTGGTAAACCATGAATCTTCCGTACATTTTGCCTACTCGATTTTATTACAATGCTCCCCCTAGTGTACGTCGCCGCACTAAATCGAACGATTGCCTTCCATCAATGACACGTGCCATATGTGACATCATTCCTATTTTATAACATCTCGCATCTTTCATCATCAACTACAAGTACCGCCGTCTAGTTTATAACGTCTTGCATCTTTTCATCATCAGCTACAAGTCCCGCCATCTAGTGAGCACTGAAAGAACTAAACGAGAGGTGGCTACATGCAGGAGACGGAGCCGCCATCTAGTGAACACTGCAAAAACTAAACGAGAAGAGGCGACATGGATGGATGGATGGATGCTATGAGCGTCCCCTTTATAACGGGGTGGTGACAAGTATGCCACCAGGCTCGACAAAAAAAAAAAAAAAACCTTTTTTTCTTTTTATGCTGGCCTAATGCCTCTACTTCGATAAATTCTATCTTAATGGAAAAAAAGGTAAATTTTCAGCTTAAGTTCTCTGCCATTTACGGCACACTGTCCATATTTTATTTTTCCAATATTTATTTTTGTCCTTTCTCTCTAATTTTCTGCCACCAATACTCTAACCGTCTCTTACTTATTTCAATCGCGGGTGTGTTCAGCTTTCCATTGTTGTCCCTAAAACCCAAGGCTTCCTGTAGGCTCGTGCCCAAACGTACACCTGGGTGGATATCTCCACATTCAATCAGAACATGCTCCGCCGTTTCCTTATCTTTCCCGCAGCATGTGCATTGTTCTTCTTCTTTACTGAATCTTGCTTTATAACTACGCGTTCTAAGGCAACCCGATCTCGCTTCAAACAGTAAAGCGCTTCCCCTTGAATTATCGTAAAATGCCTCCCTCCTTATTTCATTTTTGCCCTTTCGGTAGTTACTCAAAGCCGGTTTTTTCTCCATAGCTGCCATCCAGTAAATCCTCTCCGCCTCCCTGACTTTTCCCTTAACGCTCTTTGTTGACATATGGCTCACAATACCAGCCGTATACTTACTAGTGAGTCTTCTAGTTCTTTTTCTCCACTGTGTGTCCACGCTCTTCCTATACAAATAACGGAACACCTTCTCTGCCCATCTACTCTCCTTCATATTTCTTAGCCTTTCTTCGAACCTTATTTTGCTCTGCGCTTCCCTCGCCTCAAAACCTGCCCACCCCATATCGCCCTTTACAGCCTCGTTTGTCGTCTTCCCGTGAGCACCCAACGCGAGGCGTCCCACAGTCCTTTGATTTACATCCATTCCCGCTTGCACCTCTGCCCTCATGCACACCACTGAGTTCCCAAAAGTAAGCCCTGGAACCATTACACCCTTCCACAGACCTCGAAGCACCTCATACCTATTGTATCCCCACAACGCTCTGTGCTTCATTATTGCCGCATTCCTCTTTCCTTTTGCTGCCGAGGCTTTTTCCTGTACCTCCATGTATCTATCACTCTCATTTACCCATACTCCAAGGTACTTGTATTCACTTACCCTCGGTATTTCTTGGCCTTGTATGGACACCGTCTGATCACAGGGATCATTGAATACCATCAATCCACACTTCGTTACACTGAATCCTAGTCCAAGAGCTTCACCTTCCCTTCCGCATATATTCGCCAGCTGCTGTATATCATCTCGACTGTCCGCAAATAAGACGATATCGTCCGCATAAAATAAACCTGGAAGCTTCTGCTCAATCATCATGCTGCCCTGTTTGTGTGACAGATTAAAACCAATGTTGCTACCTTCTAGCGCTTTTTCCATACTCACCATGTACAGCATGAATAACAGCGGGGACAAAGGACATCCCTGTCTCAGACCCCTGCTAACCTCAACGTTCTCTTTGCTACGCATTCCTTCCCACTCTATGCAAACTGTATTTTCTCGGTATATCTCCCTCAAAAGCTGTATACAGTCGTCGCCCATGCCCATTCCTTTCAATATATCCCACAAAATTTCCTGATTAACGTTGTCGTATGCCCCAGTGATGTCTAGAAAAGCCACGTACAAGGGCCTATTCTCTATTTTGGATATTTCTATACACTGAGTGAGAACAAACAGGTTATCGTCTAACCGCCTGTCGACTCGAAATCCGTTCTGAAGTTCTCCCAAAATATCGTTATGTTCGGCCCATGTTTCTATTTTCATTTTTACTGCTTGCATCGCCATCCTGTATAGTACCGATGTAATGGTTAGTGGTCTATACGAGCGAATCTTGTCCTTTTCTCCCTTGCCTTTATAGATTAAGTTCATTCTACTTTGTCGCCAACTGTCCGGTATTTGTCCGTCCTTTAAGCTTTTTTCTACTGCTTTTAACAATGCTTCTTTAGTGTTATGTCCTAGTTCGTTAATGAGGCTAACGGGAATCCCATCTAAACCCGCGGCAGTGCGCTTTGGAATTTTTCCTTCGGCCTTTTTCCAGTTGAAATTATCAAGTACTAGCTCTTCCTCTGTTGCTTTCTCCGCCACACTTTTACTCACCGGGGAGATCCCCTGGACGCTCTTACAGGAGACGGTACCGCCATCTAGTGGACACTGCAAGAACTAAACGAGAGGTGGCTACATACAGGCTACAGGGGACGCACAGCCCACGCCCTAAGAAGCTTCGCCCCTAAAACAAAATATTTCGGGCTGGTATGTGCTGAGGTGTGCCCGTGCATATCTCTCTCTTTCTCTCTTTCTGTGCGTGCGTGTGTCAAGTATAGAAGAAAGACAGTAAAGTTAACCAGACGTCATTCTCGAGGACGTCATCCTGAAGAGGATCGAGTGTTGGTATTGCAGACACATTGCTTCAAAAGACACCATCGAAATATTTTAATACATATACTTGTGTTTGTTTAGTGGTCATGCGCGGCGCTCCCGTCATTTGCCAGTGCACGCTATAGTGTGCGGGCTCTCATGTTTGTGCGACGCACAGAAGAAAAACCCACGCATATCCACGAAATGAATGCCGATGAGACAGGAAGCATATGTGGCGGACCATGAATCGAGGTCTTCTATTTCGTTGTGGTTGACAGCCTTCGTTTTTGTGAACTTTTTGTTTTGTCATATGCTTTGAATAATCATGTGGTTAAATAATGTTTTTTACATTGTTGTGGCCTCTTATTTTGTTTGTTCTGGTTAATAGCATTCTGATAAGCTTTTGTGTTGTTCACAGATGTATCTGTTTGTTCACGTGCACCTGCGCTACATCTGGTGTAGACGCCAAATGGCATTTCACGCACATTGTGTAGTTCTAAGGGGCTTCGCCCCTAGGAACAGTAAAGTTAACCGGAGGTCATTCTGCTTTTTTAAGAGTCATATAGCAGATGGAATGGACAGGACAATAAAAATAAATAGAAAACTATTGTAAAGGCCAACAGCCGAGATCACACAAAATGATGGCTTGTGGTGGTGCTCATCTTCGGTTTTTCATAATTGTCACCGCCAATGAGTGGCGTTCGTGGCAATTAATAAACACATGTTACCGCTTTTTTTATCCTTGTCATACATAACAGCGCCTCTTTGTTAGAAGCATACTCAGGTGTCTACATCATGCACGTCTGAGGGATACGAAAATGAAAGTAAAGTGAGAGCCTAATTGTAGCAAATTGTTCAATTAAACAAATAAAGAACAATAAACATGCTGAGTGCTTGCTCTCGACGTCAACGTATCTATATTGCAACAGAGGACAAATGTAAGCATATTTTGTTTTATTATTGAAGTAAAAAAAAATAAATGAAGGAGTACTTGTCGCTATTACTTGGCAACGGCTACCCCTTTCCATTTGCTTGTTACGAAAAAAGAATAAAAAAAAAAACAAAATAGCACATATACATATATGAATTATATATGCTTACTTTTGTAAGCGTACTTCACATTCTTTATTCTAACCGTAAGTGTAAGGGGAGGTGTATTTCGCCCGACAAACAAACTCATTCTGATATTAAAGCTTACGAGATTTGGAACGCAGCTTGAGAAAAAATCTTTAGTTTTTAGTTCCTCATTGGCGCTCAAATAGTGGTGCGCATTTCTGGTCGTTTAGAAAATGTACACAAGACTCATCTGGAAGGATAACCTAGCTCCTTTTGTTCGATGTCATTCTTTTAGGCAAACTTTCTCACTCCTTCTGGTGTTTCCGTATCATGGATGAGCGAAAAACTCTTACCATAAAGCTAGTTTGGTCTAGTGCTGGAGTTGCACACAAAACCGGAGCGCTTTACATGTGTAGGTTTGCCGGCGACAGCGTGTCCGCACAGGTATCTTCTAACACCATGGGTGCATTGAAAGCTGCACCGAAAGTTGCCAAGAGCACTATCTTTTTCGTTTGTTTCTCTAAAAACGTGACGGCAAATGTGCACCTGTGATCTGAAGCGTCTCTATGATTGGCTACGGCAATGAAATACATCTTGACCTAAATTGTTGGCACTGTATAGAACACATCCTATGAAACTTAAGACTTGCGTTAAATATGCGCTTAAAATTATAATCTTCGTTTTTCATATAAGATATAAACAAAATGTTCCCGTCATACACACCTTTCACGGACCAATTTGCCGTAATTTTTTTACAGTGGTTAATTGAAAACTGCTGAGCTTTATTTTTTTTACCTGCACACAGTGCGACGTAATTGTGAAGAAAGCCGCGGTAATTTTAATTCAATCATCCGGCGTTCTTTAACGCACAATGAAAAAAAAACTTCAAGCAGAGCGGTGGTAGCTTCCTTAATGTGATTGTGCAAGTGGCGATGAATTTGGCACGTTTGCATTCATATTTCCGAAGGAGGAGGACAACAACAAGAGAGAAGGCAGGGAGGTTCACCAGGCACATGCACGGTTTGCTACCTTACGCTGAGCGAATGGGGAGTATAAAGCATTACAACACAAATATTGAGGATGTTTTCATTATAGCATATGCATAAAGAGCAGTTCTACTGGCGTATAAACCGTACAGAAAGCTCGGATTTCACTGGCACAGAGAATACCCGTGCTTCACAATTACTCAGAATGGTTTGTACGTACTGATTCAAAAACATTGTCACAATTACAGTAAAGCTAGAGCTTTCCGATGACCAACTTAGTTTGTGCGAAATGGAAACTTCATGGGCCACTAAGTGCATACTCGTACATATAAAATCAGTTTCATACACGCAGAAACAGGGTCACGTAATACCTTGATAAAGCTCTTTGAGCGTCAATAAATCATAATGATGGTAGAAAAGGTTCGGGAAAAGAGTACCATACTCACCGTCTAGAGACGCTGCTTCATTGGACAGCTTGATGTAGGGAATGTAGTACTGTTTTATAGCCGGACCTACCGCGTTATGCCATGCCAGCCAAGTTTGCAGTAATTTATCGTAATTGCCGACTTCCTTCATATTCCGGGTGAGATCTGCACAAAAAGTGCGGGATCAAAGTAAGGCAGAGCTTTTCGGCTCCACAAGGATCCCGAGAAATTAATCTGTAATCCTCTATTTGCAAGCATTGGGTGAATTGGTGCAGACACATGATCGAAATTGAAACAGCCATACAACGATCACTTTATTACAACAACAACAACAACAACAACAACAACAACAACAACAACAACAACAACAACAACAACAACAACAACAACAACAACAACAACAACAAAGACGATTCAGCTTACTTACAAGTGGCAAAGAAGCTCACTGTACGTTCAAAAGAAAAGCGTGTCACGTGCAAGTTGTGAATAATGGGTGATGTTAACCTCTATAAAAGATGGATAAACTACAGCATTTCTACAGAAACTGTCAATCCTGAATACGCAGCATGCAAAATGCGTTGAAGACAAATCACTGAATTCGTGTCACCACTGTCATCTTCCAGTGGGCAATTGCATGGTACACCTTTTTTTTAAGGTGCACGGCAGTCCCACTCCGGCGGCATTCACTCCACATTTTACGCATTGTTTGTGGACGCACTGTGCTAGCTGCGATTGACGAATGAATTTTAATTCTTCAGACACATAAAACTTACGATCGATTCTTTCCAATGACACTTGGTGTTAATGGCTGGTCTGAAGCGTTATTTAATAGCGATGAAGATAGTGTGAGCAACAAAAAGCCCTATCGTTGCACAAGCCTCTGTTCTACTGCGAGCACGGCGAAACTGATCAACATAACAGTGCGAAATTTGCCGTGCATTTAGAGCAAGTGCTATTCCAGGTATTCAGCAAGAGATATTGAATATAAACAAATTAGTAATTTATTTACTCTCCATTCAAAGAAGAAAAATGATGCAAGTTTGTCTGTGAATATTTTTTTCCAAAGCAGAATCATAATATTTAGCGGTTCTGTAGAGTACAATACACCTGCTCGCCACGCAAAGTTTTGTGTGTGTGTGTGTGCTCTGACGAAACCTTGATGAATTATATATGTGTCAATGCGGCAGTGATGGTGTTCCTTCGAACTGACTCTCCGGTTCATGGATCATGTGTTGCGTCTCTTGCCATATACATGACTCAACCGCACCGGGGATATATATGGTCGACCAGTGGCACACATACACTGAGACCATCAGGACTCGCTGCCGTGAATGCTACAAACTCTAATTTCTTCGTGCCTTGACTTCGGGCCATGTGCTTCCTGCGTTCACATCATTTGATGCGCCGCCTCGGCTCATCATTCTTCTTCGGCAATTATTTTCCTCGGCCTTTTCGGCGGGTTTTTCGCTCGGATCATATCCGTTTTATTCCCTTTACCGCATCCCTGTGCCGACCTGTTCAGGTGTCAGCTAACGGCAGACAGTTGCGGGCGGCACTTTTCTTTTCCGTATTATAATCACATATGCGTGGCAATCTTAAACTAATAGTCATGAAGGCGCCACGGCGACCTTGGTTTTTCAGGTGAACACAGTAAAAGAAAAACACCGGTCGAGAATAGAGCCAACGAAGGAAGCAAAATCGCGAATGCTGCTCCAATCTCGCTTAGAACTGTTATTCAAACTATGGCTAGGAATGGCTGAGAGCGCAAAAATCAACGGCAAATATATCGAACATATACGGTCAGAAGCTGACAATGTCCTGTTTAGCAAGGCTCTAACTGAGTTGTGTCAAATCATTCGAGGCTTTAGCTATGAGAATGTTCGATTAGTGTTAACAACAGGTGTGTAGACAATAAAGGCAATGTGTAAAAAATGTGGATGTCAACTTCTAGCGCCATAGTATATTGTGCCCAGGTTAATTACTTAGATTACTTAGCGACCACAATCAAGCGAAGAAAAATGCTGGATGAATACAAATTGGTCTAAACGTATGCGATAGGCATTATCCAGTTACGCAGAGACTGTACAGTTATCGTATTCTATATGCCTGCTGCCTATTGCGCTATAGGAACTTGTGGGTAAAAACAAACAAACCTTGAGGCTAGGTGAGGACTGTGCAGCGAGTAACTATACGCCAAGAGTGGTGACGTAAGCGACAGAAAGACAGTGATGCTGAAATAGAGGGAGAACGAGCGGTGCCTGTATTCTGTTGGCGGTGCATTGAAATAAAAAAAAATGACAGTGTATCCACGGCGTGAATGACGGAGAGTGGAGCGAAGCTGGGTGCGCACGCCGCTACCGCGCTGCTTCGGCATCCTGTTGGATCGCTAGGTGGCGTCGAGGAGCGCGGACGTGCAAACGTCGGCTCCCGCTTTTCTAAATGTTTTCGGTCGTTTCTTTGCTCCAAGATCACTTGGCTTTGTGCTTATTCAAACAAGCAAGCTCTGCGGTTTCAGTGGAGACGCCATTTTTGGCGGTGAGTGAACTCTTAGACATATTTTTGGACTTTAAAGTTGCGACGCGGCGAGCGTCCCCGCTAACCCTAACCACACCTAGGGTTGGCGAGGAGTACGGCCGTTACACGTAGCCAAGGGCTCGGCCAGACGCGGCAGCTACTGCATCAACCTCCGTACGTCGCAGCCGACAACCAGGCACTGAAAATGCCTTCTACCATAACCGTGGAGGGAATAGAAGTAATCGCGGAGATCTTTGACGGACCAGGATGGGCCACCGCCATGGGACGCCGAAGACAGATGACTCCGCCAAACGAGGAGCTGGCCGCTGGGAAGGTCGAGCACAGCAACCAGCCGAAGCACCCCAGGGGCTTTAAAAAAGTCAATCGGCACTACACCGTGTGGTATCCGCTTCCAGGCTACCTCGCCTACCCAAGGACCAGATCAGGGTAATTATGAGACCCAGAGGAGGATTGGACGTAGCCCGAGTCGACCTCGTTCTGCTGGCGAGAGCCGTCATCATGGCCGCCCAGATCACCGAACAAGCACGGGAGGACACGATTTGCCCCAACAATATTCAAAACATCATTGTTATTTCTACGCCGTACCAAAATAATGCTACATCATACGTGAACGTGCAGAAACTGCACACAAACCAAGGCTCGTTCGAAGTTGCCGCATACGTGGCCGCGCCCAATAATACATGCAAGGGCGTCATCAAGAACGTTGACCTCTCCCTTGACGACGCAACGCTCAAACGCCTGATTGTGCACGACAGAAATCCCACTGCCATCGAGGCAAGACGCATTAAAAAGACCAAAGTTGTCGCAATCCTCTTTGACGGGTTGCGCGTTCCGAGCACAGTGATATGCGGAACCGCCATGGTTCCCTGCTCGCTCTACAAGCGACAAGTCGATGTTTGCAGAACGTGCGGAGGAGTCGGCCATCGCGCCGATGTTTGCCGGCACACAAACGCAACGAGCGAGAAATGTCACAACTGCGGAGAAACGCTACAAGAAGACGGCGTGCATCACTGCGAGCCGAAATGCAAGCTTTGCGATGGAAATCACCCCACCGGAGATCGCGAATGCAAAAGACGCTTCCACATTCCATACATAGTAAGAAGGAGAAGGAGACGCAGAAAGCAAGAGTGGCAAGCACAACAGCGTCAAGACGCACCAACATCTGTCACATTTAAGGAACCCTGCCACAACCAGGTGCCGGGACGGGAGAACGCCTCGAGCGTCCATCACCGATCTCCATTCAGGGGGAGATCCCCATCCAGAGGGCGTTCCCGATCCAGAAGGCGTTTTCGATCCAGAGGCCGTTCACGTTCCGGAGGGCGCCCCTCGACCTTGTCGGGATCCGACAACCGCCTGTCATCTCGGGAGTGCTCCAGATCCCGATCGAGAACGAGACCAACAGCCACGCAGCAGCAGCAGCAGTCGAACAATGGCTCCTGGGCCATCAGGGTTGCAGGTGAATCACGAAGCACAAGTAGCCAGTCCAAAGGTAAGGCACAGCCAGAGCATGCTCCCGATTCTCGTATTGTAGCGCTTGAACAAGAAAACAGGGCCCTCAAGAAGGAGCTTGAAGAGCTCCGGGCTTCAATAGCTAGAATAGAGAGTTGCCACGGAATTAATCTGTCGAGCTCACCAACACCACCGACAACGCGCTCACAACAAATGATCCACAACACACACAAACGCAAAAGCCGTAGACAGCGACAGCGACACGACGGAGGAGATCGAGATGGTCTCGATAGAAAAAGAAGCCCCACTGAGAAATGTCGAGTCCGCGACAACTAAGCTCAACGACAAAATTGATACGTTGGCGAACACGCTTGCCAAGTTTATGGAAACCTTTAAGACTTATACTGACAAAGCTGACCAGAGGCTCGTGAGCCTGGAGAAGATGGCAGCCAACCCACCTGTGGCAGGTGCTCCTCAGAAGCTAAGCGCAGACAAACCAGCGGTTACGGCAAGCGTGCCGAGCATAACTTCTAGAGCTAAAGTCCGACCAGTCAAAGCACGCAATCTCGCGGAAATAACGAGCCGCGACGCACGCACACAAGCTACCAAGCCAAAATGGCTGCTGATCGTAACGAGATTAAGATCTGGCAGTGGAACTGTAACTCACTTCAGAAACGCAAAGCAGCACTAACACAACTATTGCTAGCCTGTAAAAAAAAGCCGCATATAATATTGCTACAGGAATGTGGAGAAAGCAAAACTGCTAATAGCATTGGCATACAGGGGTACACGGTAGCCAGGCCAACCCTGCACCCCGAGCAGAACAAGACGCGAGGAGTGGCTACCTTCATCCGGAAGGACATAATGTTCGCCGAAAGGGATGCCCCCGTATACAAAAAAGGCCTGGAAACGGTCCTGGTGGAAATCTTACCACTAGGGCCGTTAAAAGAAGCATCTTTGTGCTTAATGTTTACAGTCCTCCATCAGATAAGAAAAGAGATTTCAACAGACTACTTACCTCGGCGGTAAAAATGGCGGGTGACAATCCGCTCATAGTAGCGGGTGATTTTAACGCCAGGAGTATCTAATCGGGATACTTAAAATGCGAAGGCAAAGGCACCAAGTTAGCACAAAGCGCGAATGCGCTGGACCTGCAGCTGATAAACAACCTTGCCCTCCCTTCAAGAAGAGGTAGTTCGGTACAGCGGGACACAATGCCGGACTTAACCTTCACCAAGGACGTCAGAGCTACCTGGGATAACCTCGCCGAAGACCTAGGTAGCGACCACTGCATCATGGAAATTACCGTTGAAAACGAGGCGAAAGCGCCAAGAAAATTCAAAATCACAGACTGGGACCAGTTCCGTAAAATACGGGAGCAGAAGGGCAATACAGAACTATCATATGAAGCCCTCTTAAATGAATTAAAAATGGCAGCGAATGAGGCCACCAAAGAAGTCGAGACTGATGAATCCATCCAGGCAATGGACTCTCACCTGGCCAGTTTGCTGCAGAAAAGCATGACCTAAAAGAAGCGTGGCGTAAAAACAAGCTCAACAGACACTTACGCACAAAAATCGCGGACCTTGGCCGCGAAATCGAATCTCACGCCAAAACACTCTGCGCCCAGCAGTGGAACAACACATGTGACGAAGCAGATGGCAAAAATGAGGAAGGGAAGCAAATGGGGGCTGCTCAAACACCTTATGGCGGACAACGACAAACCCACCAGAGGTGGCACCCAGCTGCAAATTGTGCGACTGGTGCACAAGCACGCCCAGAATAGTGGTGGATCCCAAGCTCTCCTCAAAACGCTAGGCCAAAAATATCTTCCAGTGGAAAGCAAATCAGTAGCCTGGGAAAACAAAAATCCCTCATATGGAGGTCGACCGCAAGAAAAGCTAGACGAACCATTCAGCGAACCTGAAATACGGTACGCTCTACAACAACTCAATGGCAGATCGGCGCCAGGGCCAGATGGAATCGACAATAAACTGCTACGGAATCTAGACAATGAAGCAATTGTAATCATTACCAAGAAGATAAATGAGGCATGGGAAACGGGTACCGTGCCCAAAAAAATTGCGTAGTGCCAAGGTTTCGCTCATCCCGAAACCTGGAAAACCGCTGAGCATCGATAGCTTAAGGCCCATATCACTCACATCTTGCGTTGGAAAAGTAGCTGAGCGTGCAATACTCAACCGTATCACGGACCACATTGAGAGCAATGGGCTCTTTCGACACAACATTATTGGCTTCCGCAGGGCACTGTCCACACAGGACGCCATGTTGATGTTAAGAGAAGACATATGTTACGGCCTCCTTCACACGCTCAAAGCCATATTAGCCCTGGACCTCGCCAAGGCCTTTGACACCGTAAAACATGAACACATACTGGGTGAAATATCGCACATGAACCTAAGCGAGACATTCTACAACTACATTAAAGGCTTTCTGGCGAACCGAACCGCCACCATACGCATAGGAGAGCAATGCGGCGAACCCGAACGACTCGGAAATATTGGCACCCCACAAGGGTCAGTGCTCTCGCCATTGATCTTTAATGTGGCGATGCACAGGTTGTCGGAGAAGCTCCCTCAAATCCCATCCGTGCACCATTCCATATACGCGGATGATATTACCATATGGGTCCCATGTGGCCACTCATATGGCGCTTTGGAAGGAATTCTTCAACAAGCACTGACTACAACTGAAGAATTTTTTAAGCCAAGTGGACTCGCACTGTCCCCCACTAAATATACTCTAACGCTCTTTCACCCTCGACGAAATTCGGGCGAAGAGGAGCAGCAAGTAGTGCTCAAAGCTGAGAACAACCAAACGATACCGCAAGTATATACGGTCAAAGCACTAGGGCTAACATTAAGCGCCAAGGAGGGCCACAACTAAGAAGCACTCAAGCGCCTTGAAAAAAGCACGAACAATTTTTCAAGAGGCATTGCTAGAATCACCAACAAGAGAGCAGGCCTCCCAGAAGACAACATCATGAAGGCGTATCACGCCTTTCTCGTAAGTCACGTAGCATACGCGTTCCCGTTTCTGAAACTTACGAAGACTGAAATCAAAAAGGTCGACTCCATGCTTCGCAAGGGACTGAAAACGGCATTCGGCTTGCCCAATAGCACAAGCAACGAGAAACTCGAGCAACTTGGTCTGCACAACGCAGCCGAAGAAATTTTTGAGGCTCAGAGAGTGGCACAGATCACACGCCTGTCGTTGACGCAGGCAGGTCATCTCATCCTACGAGACGCTGGCATTTGCTCAATTTTCAACCAGAGAAAAGAACACAACTTGGTAATGACATGAGGAAACAGATTAGGGTTGAGCCAATCCCCCGCAACGTTCACCCTACGTTCAACAAAGGGCGAAGGAAAGACAGAGCGAGGGCGCTCATAAACAAGGCAAAAAAAAAAACACAACACGCACGCGCTATTCGTAGATGCCGCCCGCTACTATGGCAGGGAGACGTTTGCCATAGCGGTCGTTGATATAGACGGAAACCTCATAAACGCGGCAACCGTTCAAACAAGCCATGTCCACGAAGCAGAGGAAATGGCGATCGCGCTAGCCTTGCAAAGCTGCCAAGCCTACTCCACAATATATACACAGACTCTAAGACGGCGGCACGAACGTTCGCGGCTGGCCTAGTAGCTAGAAGCACTGGAAAACTCACCGTCAACGTAATAAGAGAGTACCAGAGCAAAGAAACCCTTGCTAAGGAAGAGAAAGCTCAAATCTACGTATCCTGGTTCCCAGCCCACATGGGGCAGTTACCGGGGCTCGACCACTGCAATCCCAACGAAGAGGCCAACCGCCTGGCGCGTGAGCTCACACGCCGCGCCGCGGACAACGACCCCTCGATGAGTGAGTGGTACGAGAATCTCTGCAGCCAGGACAAAGCACTCACATACCACGAGATCACTTCACATTACCGGGGACAAAGACGTGCCTTCCCAGCACCGCACCCAAAACTTGACAAAGCACAAGCTCTAACTCTCAGAAGATTGCAAACACGTACGTACATAACACCATCCACCTTACACAGAGTCGACCCCAACACACCACCCACATGCACCCTTTGCAACCATCCCTATTGCAATTTCGAACACATGCTCTGGCTGTGCCCTACCCATAGCGCAGCACAACTGAATACCCAAGAGGCTTGGCAGGAAGCCCTCAAGAGCAATCAATACAAGCTGCAACTACAGGCGGTCCAGAGGGCCCGGGACATCGCTACAAGCCTTCGGCTGCCAGCGCCATCCTGGGTGGAGCCTCCAGGTTGAATTGAGGGTCGAGTGGCCCTTTCTCAGCCTCCTCAGGATATGTTTAAATAAAGTCAATCTCTCTCTCTCTCTCTCGGCATCCCGTTCTCGTACGCCAGGATCTTGTTAGCGCCGCCGCGCAGCTTCACTGCACGCTTCTGCCTCGCGCGCTCGCACATCAGTGTTTCGTTTTCGAGAGCGAGCAGCCACCACCTTGCGCGCACGCTACTCTGCAAGCATGTCCATCCGCAGACCTGAACGCGCAAGCGCGGCAAAACGGCTTTTATTTTACTACACCGCGCCGCCTAGCGTGCGGCGCCGCCGACGAACACGCGATCGCCTACTTCTTCGTGTGACGTCATTCCTATTTTCTCATGCGCTCGCACATCGGAGTTCCCTCTTCGAGCGCGAGCCGCCACCTCCTTGCACGCATCATACTTTTTATCGACAAACCATGAATCATCCGCTGGGCGCGTCCCTACGTTGCCTGCCTGCCTGCCTGCCTGCCTGCCTGCCTGCCTGCCTGCCTGTCTGTCTGTCTGTCTGTCTGTCTGTCTGTCTGTCTGTCTGTCTGTCTGTCTGTCTGTCTGTCTGTCTGTCTGTCTGTATGACGCATGGACGGCGGACGCAGGGATGGACGCGTGGACGGATGCACGAATGGACGGACGCACAGATGGACGTATGGACGAACGGACGCATGAATTAACGCAGAGACGGACGGATGGACGCTTCGCCCCACTCATCATTCACTCCATGGATAAGCTGTGATTTTTATTATTTATCATACTACAAGTAATATCCTCTAGTATCATACAATTTGTATTTTTCAGCGTATATGCATTTCGTTATATGTACATGTACCGCCCTCTACGGCCGGGTGAAGAACTAACGAGATGTGGCTACATACGATTATGACGGGACAATATGCCCACTTTTTAAGGAGCTTTGCTCCTAAAAAAAAGGGGGGGGGGGGAATGAGCGGGGCACGCTATACCGTAGAGCAGGTGATCGGTTGTAGGCTGAAATTACAGAATTAGGCACCAATTAAAGACTGGGGCATTGAAGGATGACGGATTTTCGGTATTTTGAAGTTGTGAAACTGGCAGCCACAACTAGCGCTAGACAAAGGAATGAGATAAAATGGCAGAACAGTGCAAAATAAGGGTCAGTGTAACACAGAGTACAGCACGCTTTGCCTATCAATCTAAGTAGTCTGCGATGCTCTGTCATTATGTTAATGTGTACCCCACCCAAGAATCCTTGTGCATTGGACAACCTCATGTTGGCAGTGAAGCCAGAGATATTGCGGGTACGGTGATGGTGATGACTGATGATGATGGTGATCACAACTTGAACTGAATTCAAGTTTATTTCTCCTGAGTTCTTACAGGATAGGGAGCAGTGGCTAAAACCTCTACAGCGTGGCATGGGGCCTTTACTCCTATGTACAATATGGCATGCAGACCGCTCAGCGCCTCAATATAGCCCCGCCACGGTGGTCTAGTGGCTAAGGTACTCGGCTGCTGACCCGCAGATTGCGGCATCGAATCCCGGCTGCGGCGGCTGCATTTCCGATGGAGGCGGAAATGTTGTAGGCCCATGTGCTCAGATTTGGGCGCACGTTAAAGAACCCCAGGTGGTCGAAATTTCCGGAGCCCTCCACTACGACGTCTCTCATAATCATATGGTGGTTTTGGAACGTTAAACACCACATATCAATCAATCAATCAATGAATCAATCAGTCAGCGTCTCAATATATCACAAAACTTATGTCAGTCGCCGTCATAAAAGAACACTAATCTGCGAGGCCATGCCTTCAGGAGCAACAGAAGTGCTATGTCTGCAATTAAAGTTTGTTCTCTCTCTTGCGTGAGATGCTTCTTACTGTTTTTACCTGGTTCCAGAGGAAGGTCCTTATCCTTGCCGACGGTCACCTTGGTCGATCCATATATGGCGGCCATCTTCGAACTGAGACAGGTCGCCTGAAAGCAGTGAAAGAATGCGTGAACTTGGTCGACGTTTTGGCTTCTTAAAAGTTAAATGCATAACGTCTAACAAGTGTTTGGATAAAGGAAGGTTAGCTTGTGCACTAACATTCTCAAGCTTGTCGTCGGGAAGAGCTGCCAGGCCAATGGTAGCGACGTGCCTAAATAGTCGTTTGAGCGAATCATTTTTGAAATTGTGCCAGTCGAAACGCTTCGCCGTAATTCCAAACTGCCGCTCCATTTTGAGACTTCGGTGGAGACCTTATTCTGAAAAGTGCAAACAAAGAAGGAGTGGTTTGTAAGTTTAGCAGTGAAGAGCAAAGATCTTAGGAGCAAGGAGGTAAGGAGCAACTAAAAAGCAAGGAGTAAGATGGCGGCTGCGGCAGCCATCTTACTCGGGGCATGATGAGCTGTTGGAGTTCAGCGATTGAGAAAGAGCGTTTTCCTCACACGCCCAACGACTTTAACGTGGCAACCTCTCCGGGTCAGATAGTGCTCAAAGTGCGGCCTTGTGTTACTAGTTTTCTTCAGTTAGCCTCGAATTCAAGGCAAATTTTATTAGAGATTGAGTCACCAATACTAGTATCGGCAAAATATCTCTTCGGAAACAACTATCTTTTAATTTTTAACTATTGTGTCATTTATGCTAAGAAATCAAAGTCACTTGATGTCTATGTGGACACCACCAGAAAATACAATGTTTTTGACATTTTTGGAGGGCAAAAGCTGGCTTCACTACTGCTGGCAAATCATTCCGGAAGCTTCCACTCCAGATTTTTTTTTTAAACCGTCTTGCTTAGGAGTGTCGGTAGCCGCCGCAGAAGTGAGTTTTCAGAGTACCGCCTAAATAACGCGCTAGAAAGAATATTTATCAGCATAAGGTAATGGCAAGTTGTGACGCGTTGTCGCACTTTAACGAGAAAAACGGGTTCTTTCGTGGGATTTGGGGACATCTGTACGTGGTGCCATCTGTCGGCGGCAGCAATGGCGTCCTGCCGTAACTGATTGGAAAGTAGAGGGGAAAAAAAAGATATATCTAACGAAAAAAACCTAGTTGCTCCCGGTTATATGCAGTGGAGACACACTCAAACGTTATGGTTAAATCGTAGTACTGCGAAAAACATCGTGTGAATTTTCAGGACAATTGAACGACGCTAATTATAAACAAATGCCTCAGTGTAAAACATCAAATGCTCTGAGAAGCCACGCGGTTTGTAGTGTGGCAGTAATTTTACCAGCATGTTCCAGCGGGTCTTTGCTGCATATAACCTGGTGTCGTTTTTGCATTGCAAGGCAGCCTTTTTCGTCACACACACACACACACACACACACACACACACACACACACACACACACACATATATATATATATATATATATATATATATATATATATATATATATATATATATATATATATATATATATATATATATATATATATATATATATATATATCGTCTATTTCCCCTTCCGTCACCGACAAGAGATGCATATGTCTCCAAGTACTAGTCATGACAAATGAGCACAAAAGTAGAGAAAAAAAGACGTGGTCTCTTTGTTAACATCTTTTCTAATACATTTCACTTCGTGAGTCTGGTGTTCGCCAGTAGTAAGATAACTCGCCGTGATTAGGCGAACAATTTGAGTATTTTCTTCGCCGAAATTGAGTGCGTGCATGACAACCCTTCTTACTCATTTGGCAGTGGAAGAAGTTTGCAAAGTGCGATGCAACCAACCAATAATTTATTCTTGTCCTGACTCATGTAACGCTAAGTTGCTGTGTTTAGGCAACGTTCACGTGAAATAAACTTTCACAGGATGTTAAGCGCTATTTATTTTACTCACTGACTCCGCAAATCAGTTGAAGAAATAATGCGAAGCCACACACACTGAACATGAATACCCGAATTAGAAGTGAGTATTCACGCACCAGAAGACAATGACAGTTCCAACCAATGTCAATACCCTCACTATATTCTACGTACAAATGTTTCTACGACAGCACAGAACTTCACACAGACATTCAGCGCTGGATTCAAAACTCTAGCGTCTAACTGATTATGCGACCCTTACTTTGTATGTTTCTCGTGCGCTGCACAAGATTGAGGCACTTTCCTTCCGCCCTAAAAAATACAAAAGAAAAATCCGCAACGTTTCGTTTGAGCTTACCGACATGTTTTGGTTGTAATCGGTGATGTTGGTAGCATAGTCCCAACTAGAAGACGAGTCCACGTTGTTAATCGTTGTATATGGGTCATTCAAGCCTTCTATAAAGGCAACGCCCATTGCTTCATCTTTTATCAAGGCTGATACATTCGATAAGGTTGCCAAGTAGGTGTCCTGCAATGCAAGCAAAACAATGCGTTTATGCCTGGCCATTTGGTTCCTGCGACAACGTGACCAATCGTCAGTTCACATACAAAGCCGCCAAGGCTTTGTATGTGATCTAAATTGGCAAACGTTTTCTTTTTTTTTTTTTACGCAAAGCCCAGGGGGCTTCCTTATGCCGGCTACAAACTGACTGGTACCCTTCACTTTCCCGATATCACAAGATTTGCCCCGACATACACTACGAACATTTGTGAGATATGCACGACATCAACGCGGTGGTGTGCAAACAAACCTACGTCACGAGTTTGTGTAGGCTATTTGCTTGCACGCGCCTTGCTCTTGCGCTATCTTCGGCACTCTTCTATACGTGCCTGCGGCTTTGCGTGTGTGCTGGCTGTCAGTGCGGCGCTCACTCGCGTGTACATGCTCTCTCGCGCGCCCACGTCACAGTTTTGCGTAGTACGTGATCAGCTGTGATTACCTTCCCGCCCAGCTCGGTTCTCTTCGAAACCGAAACTGTGACTGAGCGCTCTGAAAACGTCTCTGAATATATAACCGACGCACACTCGCGCAATGCCGTAATAAGTGGGTGATAAGCTCTGCCTTTTGCAAAACACACACACAACACATACGCACAAACACACACTTGCACAACCATACATGTGGAGGAAAATTTTTTACCCCGCCTTGGTGGTCTAGTGGCTAAGGTCCTCGGCTGCTGACCCGCAGGTAGCGGGTTCGAATCCCGGCTGTGGCGGCTGCATTTTCGATGTAGGCGAAAATGCCGTAGGCCCGTGTGCTCAGATTTGGGTGCACGTTAAAGATCCCCAGGGTGGTCGAAATTGACGGAGCCCTCTACTACGGCGTCTCTCATAATAATATGGTGGTTTCGGGACGTTAAATCTCACATATCAATCAATCGAAATTTTTGTGTCAGCGCTTCCTTAAAAAAACCCCGGTGAGATAAATTTATCTCGGGTCTTTCTCGGCACCGTGTTCCGTGATCATATTTATAGTTTTCGTACGTGCGTGAAGGAGGAGCACTATTTTTGCGCATGGCTTTGCAGCCTCCCTCTACGATTACATAAGGGTTGCACCGCTAGCTACCTTGGATGAAGTATTCCGTGTGCTCTCGCCATTCGTTTGCTAAAGCATGCGTCGAATAAGGCAGTGCTTGCATGCCTTATCTTTTGTTTACCTTCCCCACATTCCCTTGTCAAAGTCCACCGTGGTGGTTCTGATACTCGGCTGCTGACTTGAAGGTCGCGAGTTCGATCCCTGCTGCGAGGATCGAGTTTTGACGCAGGCGAAATGCCGTAGGCCCGTGTATACACGGCGTGATGTCAGTAAACGTTAAAGAAGACCAGTGAATCAAAATTTCTGGAGGCCTCCTCAGAGGCGTCTCCCATAAACATATTGTTGTTTTGGAACGTAAAACCCCACATAGGGTTAATTCTTTGTTGAAGCTTGTGCAGCGAGTTAATAACAAAGATAACGAACAGTTGTCAATACTGCTTTCAGCGCAGAGAGGAATACTGCGCCGCGCTCTGCTCGAGGAAGCTCGTTGATATCGCCGCGAATGGTTAGAGCTCGTGGAGATAATATTCGTCGAATGCGAGCATAAGCACTCTACGACATCGTCAAACAAATAAAAGATTATTCTCTGCAAGGCTCAGATAAGATTGCATTGGAAAGTAAACAAAGCTGTATCGACGATGCACTCATTTCGGTGTGTACCACAAACAATAGCTTCAGTGGTTCCGTGAGAAGTACATACGAGGCACGACGACCCGTGAGCGTTTTCGCGGCAAGCTTGAAAAAGAATGTTAAGCTGTATACTTTCGCAGGCCAGCATCTGATTAGACTTTGTGCAACTGTTATCGTCCAACGACAACACTGTCGTACCAGCGCTTCAGAACCGGTAATAATAATCAGAACGAATGTTTAACTTCAGAAAACCACACTATGTATAAAGATTAGGCATACAGCGTAGCGTAGGGCTCTGGTAATTTCACCAGTCAGGTATTCTTCAATTTGCAAATACGATCGTCGTAGCCGGGATCGAACCAGCAGCCTTCGGGTGAGACTTCTATAGCGACTGTTCCACCGCAGAGGACAAGTTTCGGAAGAGAACGACAGAACAGCTATTAAATCGGTTTGTTCGCAGCCTCGTTATTCCGTACGTGTACCTCACTGATCAGCTTCGAAAATGTTGATCTGGAAGACCAAATGTTCACTCTTTTCGCAATTGTTTAGGTGTACACAGTCACCGTAAAGCCTCCTTTGTGTTCACTGATGTAAAAGTAGATGCTCGCAAACAAAGTACGGCGCCAACCATTACGCTCTTCAAAGGGTGATGGTGTTGTTGTTGTGCTCGCATAGATTCTACGTTCACGTGGTGTTTCAGACGAACATGCAGCGACGTTGTCCAGCTATAGCTGTCCACATCGCGACGTTGTTCTTACGTGCTTCTTCTTGTTATGGGCCTTCTCGAGACTGCATGCACGCATGCTTTTTCTTACATCGGCAACTGCAAGGAAGTCGCAGCAAGACAGGCAACCGTATGCCTTTACTAACTCTAATAAATCTTGAGCGACTGTCTTAGGCCCCGACTGCTAATTTCGGTAAAAAGGGATGACATTTGGGCACGTTGGTAGTTCATCTTGGATCACAAATGATAAACTTTGTTAACGCTGATGGTAATATTTGTGAGTTGTTCAGTGTTCGCGTTAACGAGTGCAGGGGAGTGGTTCCGATAGACGGATTTAGGCAGATACTTTTTGCACGCGGCAAGGTTTTATCTGCGAGTTGCGAGACACAATGGATCTCGAAAAGTTAGTTGCGCTTGGTGAGAAGATGGGTCTTTCTGGCGCCGAATTACGGAAGTGGGTCACCCAAAGGAAAAAGAAGAAAAAGAGAGAGCCAAAGAAGAAAAAAGCAAGCCGAGCTGGAAAAAGAGAGGTTGGCGGTCGAAAGAGCCAAAGCGGAAAAAGAAGCTGAGGTGGAGAGAGAAGGTTGGCGGCAGAGAGGGCCAAGGAAGAAAAGGCAGCTGAGTTGGAGAGAGAAAGGCTGGCCGCTGAAAGGGCGAGAGAAGAAAGAGAAGCAAAAGAGCGACCAGCTGAAAGAAGAAAGAGAGCTGCAATTGAAGTTGGAGCTGGAGAAAGAAAGACTGGCAGCTGAGAGGGCCGAAAGAAGAAAGAGAGGAATGGAACGGCAGCGACAGCACGAGATAGAACTCGAGCGGCTCCGTTTGCAACAGCGAAGTGAAACTCCGGTCCAAGCTAGAGTTGAAAGCAGCGAAACGAGAGGATCACGGCTTCCGCTTGAACCCAAGCAAGCTGCTCGTAGCGTTTGATGAAAGGAAGGACGACCTAGACGCGTACCTCCACCGATTTGAGACGATTGCGAAGAGCCAGAATTGGCCGGAACATCAATGGGCAACTGCTTTGAGTACTTGCTTGAGTGGTGAAGCGCTCAGTGTGTACGGTAGGCTACGCCGACCGATGCAGCCAACTACGCAAAGGTGAAAGCGGCTTTGTTGAAGGCGATTTAGATTCACGGTGGAAGGATTCCGGGACGATTTAGGACAGGAAAGCCAGCTGATGGTGAGACGGCTACGCAGTATGCCGCCCGACTTTGCCATTATTTCGACCGATGGATTGAACTTTCAGGGACAGCGCAGGAGTACGATGAGCTTAGAGAGCTGGCTAATTAGAGAACAATTTCTTACTAGTTGCCACCCAAGCCTGTCACTGTACTTAAAAGAGAGGAAGGCTGACTCACTTGAAGACATGCTTGAATGGCTGATCAATTTTTGGGAAGCGCAAGGCGGCACTAATTTGGCCAAGGTCAAGAAGGAGTGTCCCGATGATTCGAAGAAATTGGTTCCCGAAGAAAAGAAGCGTGCACCAGAGAGCATTCAGCGATGTTTTCTGTGTAACCGAGTTGGTCATCGCGCGGAAAACTGTCGAACGATCTTTACGAGCCCTACGGTAGTGAAATGTTTTAAGTGTGGTCAGACTGGGCACAAGCAGATGCATGTCGAACGGAGCGAGTCAAACTCACCAGGTATCCTGTGTGCAAGCGGCACCGAAATCTGATAATAATGCCGTCACCGATGGATTCGTAGAATTGAAGAATGGGGAGAAAATTCCTATTGTGGGTGCTGTAATGTCAAAACAGCCAACCGGTGTTACGAAGGGAATGCCAACACTTCCTGGAAAGATTGCTGGCAAGAAGATTACGGTTCTAAGAGACACCGGTAGCTCCACGGTTATCGTGAGGAGAAATTTGGTACGGGAAAGAGAGTTGACAGGCAGAACGAAACCGGTTTGCCTAATTGACCGTACGGTCCGGATGCTTCCCGAAGCAGAAATTGAGGTTGAAACCCCGTACTTCAGCGGGAAGGTTACTGCTTTATGCATGACGACCCCCTGTATGACCTTGTCATCGGAAACATCGACGGGGCGCGAGGGCCAAGTGATCCAGAATGTTTGGGAGAAGACCCGAAGATAGAGCCCTCGCCAACACAGCGGCCGCGAGATACAGTGGAGAAGCATCCCGTGACGGATCTCACTAGAGCCCAAGGTGAAGCTGCGGCGCAAGAGACAGCGAAGGAGAAGACGATCGTGTCGAATAAGTTCACGGGCCGAGCAACCGGACTTACGTCGGCACGACCTCAACCGACCGACAGTGTAAAGGAGACGGAGTTGGCCAGCCGGGCAAAATGTAGAGGCATGATCAAGCGGGTAAATAAACAGACAGGACCCGTCGAATGTAATGACGCGTTAACGGTGTCGGAAGAGACAACGATGGCTGAGACGACGCCTCAGATATCGTCGTTGGAAAGGGCTCGCCGAAAAGGAACGTGGAAGCACAAGAAGAGATCGAGCGAGCACCGCAAAAAGGGGCGCAAGCGCTGTTCGAAGTACTCAAGATAGGTGCTGAGGTGGAATCAGAATGTGTTTGGCAGAGCTGAGTGACATATGTTGTGTTAAGGTTCTTGTTAT